TTCCTTACTTTATTAGAAAGCACAGATCATTGCAGCCTAATGCAAACAGGCAGCAAATGTGCTACACACCCATAGAGAACACAAACTACAGCACATATTGTGTCACTATATAATTTCTAAGTGTCATATAATAGCTAATCAATGAACTCAACATTTTTAATCTCTGTAAAGTCACAGCTTCTCTACATATCACTATGATTTCTTTCATTTGAATGTAAATTACATTAATATCACTGTTACTTGCATGACTAAGTAAGAAGTCCAGACTACGCTGGCATGTAGGACAAACATCACATTCACAGGCACAATTTCTTCACCACTGTAATTTGAATTAACTTTTCAACCTCTTGTCTAATGATACATTATAAATAGATGGAAACCATTATCATTCCAGACTATCTTCTCCTGTGCTAAAGTGTTAAGTGCTCCATACTACACACAGAAAGGCTTTTCCTTACCTTTACTCTAGACAGGTATCATTCTCACTGTTCTAAAAGGTTAGTGCTGTTGATGTTATCTATGTCTAGTATTCCAGAAAGAATGAACTTGTTTATGACCTGCTCAGTATCCCTTATAAGTTCCAGTTTTGTTAGGTGTAAAATGGATAATTGCAGCATTTAACCCCTGGGATACACATGTTAGTCAAACAGAAGTGAAAGGAACAGTTGGTCTGGAACTGGAAAGTCCCAGTTATGGATGTAGCAATACACCAGATGCCATGCACTATATAAGAATGAAGGCTGCACACAAGATTTTCCTGAATATGCAAGTACCTACCTAACTGGGAAGATTGCAGCAAAAGGTGGGAATAAGCATGAACCAATGGAACCCATGACTGAGAAATCCAATCCTGCTGTCTTGATACATTATTTTGCACTGTACCAATCAATCCAAGTCCACAGCAATCAGGAAGCCTTCAGGGTTTTCCAGAAAGCTGGATAAAACAGCTACCCATAAGGGCATCCTCAAGTCAACGTATCAGTAGTAAGGAATATAGGGTTGCCTTGTACCAACCATTTTCCTTGGGGATGCTGGACACTTCTAATGCTGGATTTGACACAAATATTCTAACCTACAGTTTTCTGCTTTTTTATACACTCAGTGTGCTTTTATCAGTCAAGTATGTTTCTGCTTGAAATATATCTATCTATAACTGAAAAAAAAAACCCAAACACCAAAACCATACAATGTAGAATTTGAGAAGTCACCTTTTCCCCCATTAAGACTTCTTGATCCTTCACCAGGATTTCCTGACATTTGATACAAGAAGTAGAAGCATCTGTGCACTCCATCTGTACACAAGCATGGCATGTAAGGCCCAGTACATAGCTTGTAAAGAAATGCTGTTTTCACCACAGCAGAGACAGAAGTTCCTCCAGATGAGTTTTTCCTTCTTCCTCTGAGAGCAGAAGCCTAGCAAATCTAGCCAACAAAATTAATACTTGGGTTGTATAAACAGTCCCATAGATTCAATTTCTTTGAGCTTATGCTCAAGAAAATCCAGCTCTGAGGTGATGTGTGTAAGCAGATACCTATCAGCTTTTTCTAAGATTATCTAATGTCTGTGTAGCCTACACTGTCTACTTTTTCATATGAAAAAAACCCCAAACAGTTTATATTCACTTTGGAGCAAAAGCTACCTTATCAGACAACAGAGTAAACTCAGTCTCTTCTTTCCTATCCTTGTTCTACACATGTGCAACAAAACACCAAGTCTTAAAATACCCCAAAAATATGATGCTTCCAACTTAAAAAGAAAAATAATTTCACTGAAACTGGGTTTCAAGATGTAGCGGAGTTTGGATGATGTGGAAACAGAAACACATCCAAGGAGTCTGTTTTCCCAATCAAAGTAAATAGCTCCTATTGTGATTTTGAATATGCACACAGACCTCCCAGTCTAAATCACATCTTTATGGATATTGCTTAATAATATGAAATAGCAAGTATTTGGCTTAACTTCTTTAAATAAACTAGCTAACAAAAAGCAGTTCATGCTGATTGTGTCACTATGATTAAAAGTAGCAACTGAAAGTATCGTTGTTTGTCACTTTTGCAGCCCTTAAAAAAAAAACCAGCTGCTTGTCCTGAATTTACAGAATGTATACATAGATTGTGGACTTACTACTGGTTCTACAATAGCCTAACCTAATCTGTAGATGGCCAGTGTTTTAATAAGTTAACCCTTTTATTATTGTCGTTATTTTAAGTAGTTTACTTGATTAAAGTACGAATAATTCACTTTTAAACAACTTTCAGCTATTTCCAGATTCAGATCTATCCCTTGGTCCCAGGCAGTGAGGCAGTTTTATTTAGTTCTGTGCTCAGTTTAAACCTCTTCCCAGTACCTTTTTCCCTCGTAACTGACAGCATCAGCTTTTGGTTTGCATCAGGGGAATCTGTTCTCCCTTTGCTCCACTGTGGCAGCACATTTGCAGCTCTAGGACTTTTTCAGATCAAAAGGAAACACGGCCCTTCATCAGTCTCCTCACTGAAGATCAAATTTCACTTGCATAACAGTGACTCTGCGTCACATAATGAGGCCTTCACGTGTGACACAGCTAAACTGAAACTGAAAAAAAATAACATCATTATCTTCCCTCGTCTGGATACAGGAGATATTTCTCTCAGAAAATAATGAAACTGCACAAATAATCCAAAAATCAACGGGGAAAAAAGTTTTCAAAAGACTTTAAAGTCAAGATGACTTCTAGTCAGAGTAAATACAGATATTTTATGGTAATAGCTCCTGTCTTGTGCAGAAAGTCAGGCTACATTAGGGGATCACAGCAGTCCATTCTCGATGAGATATCAATGAAATAATAACAATATCAAAATTTGGTTTTATGCAGCATTTAAAGGTTACTTTATCTCCTCAAATTATACCTGTAACCATAAAAAATTCAGAAAATCTAAGAATTTACTTTCTTATATGATCTTCAAATTTTTAGGTACCTGAAAACTCCTCAATAATGAATATATCTTGTGAATATATCTTGTGAGTCTACATGAAGTTACAAATTAAGTTACAAATTATTTGGGTAAACACAGCAATGACATATAGCAGGCAAACAATTTTAAGATCCCCTGGCTACTGAAACTTCTATGTACTCCCTTTAATCCATCATTCACTTGTTTCCTAAAAAGAATTAGTAACAATTTTCCTACTGATTTTATGTGAAAAGAACATAAACAGCCCAACATTAATCTTTTATTTATTATAGCTGCCCAGCTACCCCTCACTTCAGCCATTTAGCAATCCTGTTATGAAACAGCTGCTATTAGTGAAAAAAGTCCAAACTGGCAGCTTTCACAGACCACTGGGAATACAGAGCATTTTAAGGAGATGGTTCTATAACTCACTGTCAGTACCCTCTGATTTACTTATCTTAGGTTCTTCTAGGCCCTACCTTAACGCCTCCAACCAGGATTATGCTTCTAAAGCCTCAATATCAGAAAGTCTGGCTTTTCTCTGGATTTTCCCAAGGAGAACTTCCTGTTCCTCTAAACCAATATACCCTTCTAAAACCACTTTTTTTTCTACTCTTTCATTGCTGCTGAATCTGATTCAAAAGGGGCCCATCTGCTCCAGCTACATCATCAGGAGAGTTCTGCACCTCCACAGCTGCCAAGGTTCCTGTCCCCCTGCAGAAGCTGGAACTGCTCCACCCTTCACAGAAATGATGTGAAGTAACTGATGGATCCAAAACACTTTTCCATGAGCATTTCTACACTGGTTATTTCTCTAATGTAAACTCTCCTTTGCTCGCATTTTGCAGGGTCTTCATTTGTTCCCTTAATAAAATGCACCATAAAACCAGAGTGCAATTTTCCAGTGCAAAGGGAAAAAATCCTATCAAATACACTAATCTTCCTATAAATTCCATGAAGCAGTTCAAAAAGCCCAGATGGGCGACTGTTTCTATTAAATTCTCTCAAGTGCTGGAGCAGCTTCTTCAGGAATTCTAACATTTCTTTAGAATTTAAGTGACTTAACCTCCACTACATTCTATAAAGGCTGAAAACCAACCACCTGCAAGTATGGTCTAGAACATCACATATAACATAAACCCAATGGAAAACTGCATTAACATGATGGATGTCACTGTTAACCTGGGACATGCTCTGAAAATGCATTCTCTCTGACAAATTAGATACACCACCTGGACCAGAATGCAAGCAGATCCCAAAACACCTGATTCCTGCTACTCATTCAAGGTTGAGAGAGTTTGGTCTGATCAGCCTGGAGAAGGGTCCAGGGAGACCTCAAACTCCTTCCAGTACCTAAAGGGGCTCCAAGAGAGCTGGAGAGGGACTTTGGACAAGGGTATGTGGTGATAGGATAAGAAGGAATAGCTTTAAATTGAAATAGGGCAGATTTAGATTAGATATAAGGAAGAAATTCTTCCCTGTGAGGGTGGTGACGCCCTGGCACAGGTTGTCCAGGAAATCTGTGGCTGCCCCATCCCTGGAAGTGTTCAAGAACAACCCAAACCTTCCTATGATTCCATGATTTCCAAGGCAGAAAAACCTACTAAACTGTATCTGCATCTCTGCTTTGCCAGAGAGTCTTTTCCAGATAAAGTTTAAAAATAAATTCAGTTCTGAGCCATAGAAACCCTTGCAGGAAGTTTTCTTTGGTTTGTTTTTTATAAATGAGCTTAAGTAAAATAAGAACAATTTGAACAAAGTAAAACAATGCACTAAGACTCTGGATTCTTTTAGTTAAAATACAATGGAACTAAAAAATTAAGTTTAAATGGCACAACTTTCTACCTGGACACGAATGCCAGTCATGGGAATCAGCTGGACCTGCTACCAGTTCTTAAGTTGAATTTCTGGACAGAAGCTGGCAAGATGTTTACAGTGGAAGTTACTGTACTATGGAATGTGGGGTTTTTTCTACCCATTCACAGTTGATTTTAGGGGCAAGTTGTGACTCATCTCTTCATGCAGCATTAAGTCTTTTCTCTGCACACAGTACTTCTTTACAGTATCTGTGAAGGGTAAAATTGAAGAATTTATTTTTATTGAAAATATGGAATTTTCACACAGTCACAAAGAAATAAATTACAACTCAATAGTAGTCATCAGTCTCCTTACCAAATGTAATGCATGCACTTTAGCTCCTTTGATCTTGGCAAACTTCAGAAGTAAATAACTTAGTAATCAAGAAACAAAATAAATTATATTAACATATTTTAACACAACAAAAATAAAGCTTAAGTGAGCTACCTTGAGTTCATATTTTACCGATAATAATTCACACAAACTTATTAGTGAAATTAATGAAAAACATTTGAAATCAAGTTTGGGCAATCTGTTCAATTGAGAATCAGGTTCATTAAATGTCAATATTCTGAGCACTCATGACACTGATGTGAAAAAGTGTTCTATAATCTCACAGGTTAAGCAACACTAATAAGTCTTCATCGAGTTTAGGGTGTAAAAATAATTTATTAGCTTTTGGTCATAAAAAAAATCAGCTACTATTTTTGATTTTTTTTTCCTAAACAGCAGCAGTCAAAAAGGTGACAATTGAAAAGTGTTCAATAAAAAAATAAGGCAAGCATTGTAAATTTGTTCCTCAAAAATCAATGCTGTAGCAGTACAGAATCAAGGGTAGCAGAAAAAAATAAACAATAACTTAGTAAAACACGACAATCACCGAGTTACCTCACCAATGCTATCTCACTGCTTTAGTTGGCCAAGGAAGCACTGTTGAAGCAGTATGAAAGTAAACTTGTATTTCAAAATTATTGACAGTTGATTAAGATCTAAAGGCATCCCTTTGGGTGGGGAGGTGAAGTGTGCCATAGTGATGGTAACTTTATATTCTACTGGATGAAGTTTGTAAAACATGACGGAACACTGATCCCAAAAGTTTGCAAGACAACACTCCTTGGCTCTACTGTTTCTGCTCAGTGATCCTCTGCAAGCAGAGCTTCATGTAGGAATTTTTATTGCGGATTTCTACCACTGCATCCCTGACGAGCTCGATGAACAGCTGAGGCCAGAGCTTCTGCAGCGACTCGTTCTTCAGGTTGATGTCAGCTGCCTCCTTCACCAAGTTCTCCACGTATGTCCGGCAAAAGGTTTTCCTTTCCTTGATTTCCTGCATGAGAGAACCATTACATGTTGTATAAGGAAGAGGGGGGAAAAAAAAAAGGTTAAACGAGAGCAAATTAAAAAAAAAACCCACAGAAATGTCATGAATTAAGGGACGTAGCAATTAACAGGCAAAGAGGTTATTGTGCACTTTCTTCTCTTAGTTTTAAGTCTCATGGCCCAGGGTCTGTGTTGAGCCACAGAATCTTAGTGTACTCATAATATCCATTCTATATTAATTCATTAATTATCTGAAATCAACTTTTAAGTGGTCATAAATAACTTTTAACAGCATTAACTATTTTTGTTGCCTTCTGGCATCACAGTGAAAATTTACAGAAACTATAAAGCACTAAACCACTTTTCTTCCTTCTCTCCCTTTCCAACACTTCATCATCACAGTACAACAGTTGGAGAGTACATGTTTATCTACCTGCCCTAACAAGCATATTGCCATAGAAAAACATGCCAGTGCATATCCTTTTCACATGGTTCCTAATGAGTATTACATTAGATACTGAAGCAAGCTGAACCTTTAAAAATTAATAAAAAGATACGGTGCCTTGTGCAGCTACTAGCTCTGCATTTTAGTAACTCCAACAGTATTAATCTCTGTTTCTGCAAAGTTTCTACAAAATGCCATCATAAGCTTTGAACAATAAGTTACATTGGTGCTAAATGTCTAACTAGTTTGATTTATGGCATTGTTTAAAATGCTAGATCATGCTTCAGGCCACTGAAACAGAAGTTTTCTTCAATGAGAGATGAAGAAGAGAAAATACTTTCCAGTGGTTTCAGCTAAAACCCCAAATTATTAAACAATGACTCAAGACTGCCATCTTTACCAACATGGTTACTGAGGTGCATTTATCATGTTAGTTTACTGCTGATGGGGAACTGGAAGCAGCTGGTTTTGCCTATCTTACATCCTGCAATATCTGCTGCAAACATAGTGCTATAGCCAAGGACAAGGTGGGAATTGCTGCACTGGGAAGAGAAAACAACACATATATTTAATGGACTGCACAAATACCAAGCTTATTTTGTTTTATTATATTATAGTGCTTGTTCCATGGTAAAGGACAAAAGAAATACCTCACTGCCTTACTCCATGCTATTCAAAGTTTTAAGAGCTACAATCACAGCTTTTGAAACCAAAATGTTTTCTTAATTTAATCCCTCCACACATGCAGTCACTGTCTCTGCTCTATGCTGTGGATCTGAGATAACAAAGCCACAGTGCAATAACTGAATTCAGTGATTACTGAACTTGCTTAAATTTCTTGCACTAGAGGATTCATCTATTTCTACACAAGTAAAAAGCAAATAATGGGACAAATGTGGCAATTAGGGTGTATACAGCTAGAACTCATGATGATTGCTCAGAAAGGAGACTGTGGCTGAAAGAATCATGTTCCCTCTGGGAACAATTTCCCTCTGCCCAAGCAAAAGAGTGAGCAGATCAGAAACACAAACTAAAACAACCGTGACTGATGCACTTGTCTGAAACAAGCCAGCTTGCAGTTTTATTAATAATTAAACCTAACACATTTCATATATATTTACTTGCCTGTAGCTCATTTAAAAGCTAGGAAAGAGCTCTTTATTACTACAGCCTACACTCTCTGAAGTGTTGTCTCAAGGTGTTTCTTCACCAATTCATTTTGGGAAAATCTAACACGTGTAATATACATTTTTCTTTGTAAAAAACTGTGCTCACTTCTTATATTTTAATAATTGAGGTGCATTTTGTCATGAACATAAGGCTTGTAGGTGAGAATGTATTTCTGAGACAGTGGTACTGTTCAGCAACTACCTCAGTAAAGAGAAACTGAGCATTTTCCAATATTCTGCCAAAGATCAGTCAGATGAAGTGTTTGATCAGGTATGTAAATATGTTAAGCAGTGGTATTTTAAAACCATCATTCTCAACAGCACAACTGAAACTTGATATCTAGACAAATTCCATGGGTAGTAGCCTAAGGTTACCTAATAGAGAATGAAAGTATTTTTTAATGATACACTTACCTCAAGCTTTTCCATATGGAAGTCCTTTGTCATGTAATTCAATGTTGCTCGAGTTGTGCTTTCCCCTCCATTTCTTCTGTTATCACTACTTTCCTCACTCCCAGCCCCAGATTTCTTGCCCTTTCCCTCTAGCAGATAATGGAATTGCTTCCTCCTGTGAAAAGATAAGAGGTTTACAGTCCTAATTATTGGAATTTTTTTTCAAGTGCAGATGTTTCTAGTGATTGTAAGGGGTTTTTCTTCTCCTTTTGAATATATATTTTTGAGCTTTCAAGTATATTGCATCCTCAAGTTATTCAAAATACATATGATTCTAGATATTCCTTCATTAATTTGCCTCTATACAATTGATCTTGACATATATCACACAGCATCTCCTAAATAGGAAGTCTTGCAGCTTAAACTTGTATTAAGTACTCATTTATAGAAGACTAAAAATAGAGGGGTTTAAGCACCTCTTTTTTACAGTACAACTCCTAAATCTGTTAACTCTTACAGTCACCCACTATAAAATACCCATGAAAAATAGCCAGTTTTCATTGTGAAAGTCCACAAGTCTTCACCAATACCAATACAACTGGAGAACTGAACAAGCAGTACATTTGTGTGCATGTCCCTTCTCACTTTACTCAGCAGACTTCACACAAATTGTGTGAAAACCTCTGGCTACAAAGACCAGGAGATGGTTACACTTGTGCAATATGCAGAGGACTTATCAACCGTAGGACAGAATTTGTGAAATTATCTTTTTACCCAAAAAGAATTTACCACAACAGTGTGCAAAAGAATTAAACAACACGTTCTGGACAAATGCCAGTTTCTGTTCATTGTGTTTTATACCTGGATTCTCCAAATAATGAAAGTACACGATAATGTGGCAGCTCAGAAGATGCTACATATGCCAGGATGCCAAAGAGCCTTTCTGCCTTTACAACATCATCTTCAGTGACCTGTGAGGGAGTGGGAAGGCAACAAAAAGGAAAAAAAAGTTACATTTTAAAATTAGCACATTCGTATTTCATTACACACGTACATGGAGAATTAACTCAGACTTGTTACACAGGGCACTGCAAACAGATCTGTTCCAGGTACATCTTCAAAACAGATTTGCTTTTACTGGCACTTCCAAAGTACTTTAGAAGAAACCAAATGGGGTAGTGGTGCTTGTTTGATTTCCTGTAATCCTGGAAATTCCAATCTATGTACTGTGTGTCATGACAGTCTTTGTGAAATGAGGAATTTCATAAGTTTCTTACATTGATTTTCTAAAGGCCAGACATAGCAATTCTGCTCCATATTGCCTGCACTTGCAGAAGGTCTACTGGAAAATTTCTGATTAAGTTATGCTGGAGAAAGATTGTGGGCATGCACATGTGAAAAGGTAAGTTACAGACTCTCCTGTTTTGGCAGAATCGTGGAGAAGACCTTACAGAAAGAGAGGCTTCAAAAGGGGAAAAAAAAGGTATTTTCTCTGCATTTTTCAACTCCCAAAAATAAGTGTTCCTCCATTACACTTCTCTAAATATCAACCATACTGTTGTGTCAACACTAAGTTACAGATGTCTCTTTAAGCTAATTTTCAATGCTTGAAAAGTTTTCAGAATTCATTTTATACAAAATTGAAAAGTGTAAAGAAGGTGAAGGGGCTCATTTTTTGGTGGTGGTTGTTATTGTTTTCTGTTTGTCTTGGCTCATAACCTCTGGAGACCATGGCCTGTGGATGGCCAGACTGTGAACTGCCTTCAACTGCCAAAAGTTTGTTGGCACAGTTTCTGGACTCCTGGCTTTCCACTGAGAGCAGAAGCAATCTTTATGAGCATCTAAATCTGACCTGGATAACACTGGATGATGAAACTTACTCACTGACTTCTTAACTTCTGGATCAAATTTAATTTCCGTTCATCCTGTAACATATTTTGGGAGAGCAACCCATTATTAAATAAACTTCAATACTCACAATATTTACTAAGCAGTTCCAGACAAACTTTGTGTTCTATATTATTCAAATGTATGACTAAAATGGAACTTTGATCCACATTAACAGACTTCTATTATATTCTTGTTTAATGTTTATGGACTATTCAATCTACTCTTGCCTAAACTATACTGCAACAGCATAATGCAGGGATAAATTCACCAGAGAAAACACAGACCAGGAAATTAGAAATGTAAAGTCAACTCCATTTTCACAGTGTTTAGATTTGTTCATTTTCACTTAAAATTAAATAAGTCTTACTTAGTAGCCTAGGAGTAGATGGTCTTGCTGAACAGCCTGTAACAGAAGAAAGGTCTAAAACAAAGAGCACAGAAGGCAGCTAGGGAAACAAAGCCCACTGCAGGCAGAAATGCCTGCTGGAGAAAAAAGTGATTTTAATGTATTTATTTATGTTAAGAGAAGCATAAGGACCAGGTCAACAGAGACAGCAATGCTGAATACACTCTCCAGTTCACAAAAACTCATGTTCTCTTTCTTACTGCAGTGCATTGTTTGCTCCATTAATCACAAAAAGATTTAACGGTAGTATCACATAAATGTAAGGCTTCATGCCTGGGTCCTGCCAAGTGCAGAGGACAGGCACCAACTGTGCCAACAGGCCCAGCTCAGGGAATGTGGTGCATCTGTCACATTGTGTGCCACACCACGGCTGTACAGCTTTCTGTAGGGTTTGGTAACTGCAAACCTTGGCAATTTGGAATTAATCTGAGATTACTGTCACTGGGAAAAACTTCAAATGGTGTTTCTCAACTAAGAGAGTTTGCTTCTTCACAGTAAATGTAACAATTGGACAAGGGAATAGAATCATTGTTGGGGGAGATGAACACTCAGCTTCTAGCCTGGAACATGAACTGGAAAAAATAAAAGCTTTGTTATGCAGGGGTTTTTTTATAGTTTAAAAGTGCCAGAGTTACACAATTTATTTAGTTAATTCAGTTAGTATATATTGCTTTTACTTCACAGCTCTGTGAACCTCAGAGTTGGCAACATAAGAGTCTCCACAAACATTGCACACAAATGGTGATCAGAACAGCAGAATCTGCACATTTCCCTTTCTGTCATCTAAACGATTCTCTACAGCTGATCTAAGGTCTGAGAACACACTTCAGGGGTTGTGTTCTTTACACTGAAGCAGTATTTTCCATTCCTGATGTTAATCCAAAAGGTGATATACATCTGCAAAGCTGGATGCCATGATTTCTGCTGTAGGATAATGAAAAACAGCAATCAGAGCTCATCTCTTTCCTCAGCTTGGCTGTGACACTTTTCAAATGATTAACGACACTAGGAAAAAAGTTGTGTGCACATCTTCATATAGTGTGGTCTGGCTGAAGAAGTTTGTTGAGGACAAAAATGTTCTTGTCATACATATTTAAGATGTGATATATGTCCTACAGAAAATCGTGCTGTGCTACGTGTGTTCCATTTACTCAATTCTCCCCAAGAAATACTAAATTCCAAGTTTTCCTTCAGAGACTGAATTTCCTGACCTCGAGATTGTAACAAAAAGTCTACTTAAATAGTTGTGTTACTTTTTCCTGTGATAGCCTTAAAGAAGAAAACACGATTCTATGATATTTTGTAACACTGGGAATTTTAAATTTTAAATAATCATATGCTGTAAATCACTAAGGAGTCTGTCAAACACACACTTTTGCATAAGTATTCAATGTCAGCACTGTGATCTTCTCAAACACAATAAACAAGTGCCTCTTAAAATCAAGTAAAATCATGGAGTTATTTAATATTAATTGCACGTATTCAATATTATTAAACTGTGTTAATTTTAATATCTATTTCACAACAAATTACATGGTGAAGTCTACTTACATTTTTTCCCCCTAGTACTGAAAAGACCCCGACAGGGCTGTGCTCATTTTATTATCGATTCATCTGCTCTTTTAAAAAACAACGCTAAGTGACCCTGTGAGACCAATCATAAGAAGGGAGGGACACTGTCCTACCTTCACTCCATTTATCTTCTGCAGATTGAAGTGGTTCAGCCTGAACAGCACATAGGATTTCCACAGGGTGAAGTTCACCACCGGGTTTCCCTGAGGATCGACCGTCAGCTGCTCCATGCGATGCACCTCGGCCAGGGCGTTGAACTGCTGCAGCGCCACCAGGTTTGTCTCCTTGAACTTCAGGTGCTGGGAAAGGTCAAACCACAGCAAACTCCATAAACAAACAGCAAAACCCACTGTTTTGTGCCACTCCATTTGTGAAACTCAGATAAACAGCCGTGGGGCTGGTGAAGCAACTGAGCTCTTTTCCGCTTGAGGTCTTTGTAGCAAAACACATCAATGTTTCAACTGCTTATATATTACATATATTAAAAGATGTCAACTTCATATCCCCCAAGGAATTCATAAATCCTTTACTAACAGCAATATTTTCAGTGTTACAAAAAGCAATGATACTACTTGAGCAATGTTTACTTTAATTCTGCAAGTAAAGCAGCTGCAACATCTACACATAAAAGTAAATACAACACACGTTTTCAAAAATCTGACTTTTTTTGGGCACAACACGCTGGCTAAGTCATACCCTGCTGTGTTTGAACCATGCCCTACACTAATGATCCTATGAGCATCATATATCTGGCTACACAGTAGCATTATTGAGGGAAAGAGAAGAAGGAAAAACTGATGGGGAAGATATAAATTTAGTTTAAGATTCTGGTATCACCCACAAATTCCACTTCTCCCCTCCCCAAACTATTGTTTCATTAATATGGATAAATTTGTCTCAAGCTCCCCACAAATTTATCTATTTCAATTAAACCATGAAGTTTTGTTACACTCAAAACCTTGAAAAGCAGCAGGGAGTCATACTGCCTGAGTTACAAGTTGCTTATGTATGTCATCTTTATTTTACTATTTGCTTCAAAATGACTGATTTAAACATCCAATGAGAAAAATGAAAAAGAGACATACTAAAGAGACATCTTATTTATGTTGCTTGGCTTCATCAAGAACTGAGTAATTCCAAGAGCTGTACTGACTGAGTTAGCTATTCCCTTCAATTTTACTTCTTTCTTTTTATCCTATCAACTATCTAATCTTTGCACTCACAACACAAATGAGGTCCTCCTGATACCATGGATCCATAACAATATTACAGAGTAGCATGACTGTATTTACACACCAGTTTTTCAACTTCAAAATAATCAGCTAGGTCAAAGGAATTAAAAGAAATAAAAACCAGTCTGAAAAGGAATCTAAACTGAAGTATTGATTTTTAAGAAGTATCAAGTTAAAGTTGGCATTATAATACCAAGAAAAGACGTAAATTCATAACTGTATCTACTGACATGAAGCCACTCAAGGGTGCCTGTGCCAAAGGAAGGTTCCATTAGGAAATGCACCTTCCATAGCTGTTCACAGAGCTGAAACCTGAGGCACACTCACCACACAGTTAGGGAATTTCATCTTCAGTTTTGCCAACACTTGAACAATTTCATCAAATTCTATAAACATAAAGGAGACTGTGACAATAATTCCAGCTGTTTGAACACTCCAGTTCCGATCCAGGCACTCCAGTGCTCCTGCACCATACAAGCCAAGAGTGTCCCCTTCCACTTCCACTAAGTGAGACTCTAGAACAGACAAGCCTTGTACTGCACTGCTCAAAATTGCATCAAGAGACCTGCAAAGGAAATAAAAACACAGTGATATAAATGACACTATTTTGAAATAATAACATCAACAAATGACAGTCCTTACTTTCACCAAAACCCAGCTGTCAAATACAATGGCATTTCTCAGCATTCATTCATTTTCAGGACCCCACCTGGTGCTGGTTCAAAAACACTGAAGGCTGGAAAAAATCCTCTTTCAATCAAGTAACACTGCAAATGTTTTACTTCTTCAGCAGAAGGGCTCTGGGTGTATTTGAGTTAGTGGAGGGGTAAAATTAAATAAAGAATAGAATCCATTCATATTTAAAAAACTGCTTAAAAATGTTAACTCAGAATGCTAACCTAGCATATTTGGTGTTGCTTTAGATATCTAAACACGACTTCAAACAATGTATTTATTTAAGCAATGTCCCCTTCACATTGTGTTTGCCATGTGAAACGTAAGAGTTATGACATGAGCAATCACTCAAGCATTTAAGTAAGTGTGTTTTAAACTATATAATGCCAGATGGCCACCTTTTAGATGCAAATAAGCAAGCTAAAAAGATAATATATTTTAAACCAAGAATACAAAAATTATCTTAGTTTTATTCCTAAGTCAAAAAACTGCTACTGATAAATATCATGGGTGTGAAAGCAGTCCAATAAAAGAAGCTGCTGTTCAAACTAAGAGCATGAATTCAACTGTGAAACCTCCTGATACACAAAGAGGTTACAAATGTTTGCAATGCCAATATATCTCCATTTTGTTCATTTCAACTGAAGGCAACAATCTAAGTTGTCAAGGAAATGAACAGTCTTAAGGCGGCTCGGGAATTCATATTTAACATTTCTTGCAAACATGAAGTTGTCCACTTTTTAGTAAAATCACCTAATAATTTAGCTTGCTGTTTTATTACTTTTTAAATATATACTACCCCTACCCTTTGACCAGTAGTAATAAGTAAGACATCTTTTCAGGATTGATTTGGATATAGCACTTTTGACAATGTCATACAGTGAGAAGTAGCAACCTGGAATTAAGACACGAACAAGGAGAAACATTATCCAATAAAATACCTGCTTTCCTCAGGAAATACATATGCAGCACTGCCATTGATCTGACAGGGCTCACTGTCCTTATCCTGGTTTAAAGAAGCCTCAAGGGCTGTTCTGTTCTGCTGGATCTCCCACTGACGAGCAATGTTACAAATCGTTAACCGCTTCTTTTCCTGAGACAAGATACAGAAGTCATATTAAGTTAAGACAGGGTAGTATCAACACATCTGTTTGTTCTGAAAGAAAAATGCTGCTTAATGAAAACATTTTAAATGTTTCAAACTGAAGAAATTACAGTACTGGCTGGTGGTTATTCATTAAAACCAACGTGCCATTCCAGTGCCAGTTTGCATAACTGACAGCAAACAATTTCACAGGACTTGCAGTAACAGAAACAAGCAAAGTAACAAAATAAATCCACAACTTAGGAAAGCATAAAGTTAAAATATTTAGTTTGGATAATCACAGAAGTCTCATTTTGGACAGTCTGGAGCTGTCTCATTTTGGACACTCCTCCCACACAACAGGGCACACTGTTGTCCCACCCCCAACACTTCAGCTGAGACAGCCACGAAACTGCTTTAAGGCTTCACAGGAATTGCAACATACTCTGAAAAAAATCATCTTCTGAAAAATGCAAAAGGCAGATTTTATAAAACCAGAAAATTAAAATTACCTTCATGATCGACACAGGGACAGGACTACAACAGATCTAAGTTCAAATATTCTGTAATAGTTTTTTTAGGTAGTTTTTGTATTCTAGGCTGCTCTTGTCAATAAACCAGTATTTTAAAACTCTATTAAGTATTTGTTCTTGTGCAATCATGCAAATCATGTCAAATAACCACCTATATATAAAGAACAGGAGGTGTTCTATTGCATCATATAGAAATGAATGATTTATTACAGCTAACTCAGAAACCTTTACAAGGATAAGAACAAGGTGCTTTGTAAGAACTCATGGATTGGCAGCTGAACTCTCACAAATGAAAGCTTGATTTGTTTTTTCTGAACTAGATGTAATTCTCAGAGTCAGTCACCTCACTGATGATGTATTCATCTCAGTCAAATTTGAATAGTGACTTCGAATTTCTGAGAGGAAAATATTATACAGGAGCTTAGCATAAATTAAGTTTACATCCACAAAAAAAATATCAACACTAACCACAAAATTATAGTCCCTTTTATCAAATAGGGAAAAAAAAGATAATTTATTTGATATGTCTATGGAGAATGGCAGGGGACCAGGGTAACTCTAATTTTACAATTTGAAATTAACACTTTTGATACATTAAGCATGACCTACAGACGCTATGGTCCTGGTTTTAATCTATAAAAGTAACATATGACTCTTACCATCACATTTTTACATAATTCCTTTCACACTGGGTGAGTTCTGGACATTTCTGCAATGCAGTTCCCCAAGAATGTTCCTGACACTACTCAGTGTTGGAAATATGAAGTGTAAAGCTCTACAAATGACTATTTCTTTGAAAACCAGAAGATAACAGATTAACCAAAGAGTAAGCTCCTGCTGTAGCTGCAATCCTCAAACAGCACAATTCATTTCAATGACTGATGATGGAGCTTCTAGTCCTTAGTGACAAAAATCACATCCATAATTGGCTAGAACTGAACTGAAAGTACATGGAAACTACTACTTTTTGGAAGTTTTTCCATTTAAAGAGCTCACAACTCTATTTCCCATTCCATTTGCCCAGAGAGTTCTGACACTGTCCTGTTAGAGGACATTTCCAACTTCAGTGATGACTGGGCTCCACGTAACAAAGTGGGGCAAGTTGAAAGAAGCAGCATTTTTTTTTTCCAAACACCTTTAGAAAATTCTGTTTGTTCTTGAGGCAGAGGGTCTCCTCACCACCTTAATTACTGTACAGCTCTTTGTTAGTGCCCCCAGCTGTGGGCTGCTGGATTCCTACAGAGCTTTGAAAACTTCCAAGAATACATTTCACAAAGAGCACGTTTTAGAGGTGTGAAGATCCTGCTAGCAATAACTTTTTCTTGTTCCAGTAAGTATTAAGTTTAACCTCTGTTGGAGAGGAATTACATTCTCTACACATTTCAGATACATCTCAAACTTTACCAGAAGAGTGGGTTGGAAGCAATAAAAAAACAGTGTGGAAAAAGAGATGAAGAAACCCTGCTGTTTGGGCAGACAAGTATCAGCAAGAGATAAAAAAAAAAGAGATGACTGATGAAATTAATGTTTTCAATGCAGCAAAACAGTGATTGCTTGCTACTGAATGAGGGCCTAGAATTTCATTTACACTTCATATAGTTTAAGAAAGTTTGGAGAAATGTGACTGTAACAAAAACTGCAGAACACAATTCTCGAAATATTTTCTTCAGATTGAACTCTGAAGAAAATTTTGTAGTCCATGACTTTTTGTGCTGGACATTGTATCTGTGAGTAGATTTGTTCCTTAAATGCAAATGTGTGGAACAGGAAAAAAGCCTGAATCATAAGGATCCATTCACAAAGGAAAGATATATGAAATCACCAAATCATACAAAAAAGATTGGTATTTGGCCTTTACGCCACTTAACTATTTGAAGATGAGAAATATACCTTTATTAAATTAAAAAACTGCAATTTAATGTTAAAATCGAGTAATAATGGCATTACACATTAACAATAGTTTTTTCTTCTAAGGGAATTTTCCACTAGCAAAATGCCTCATGAAATCTTGGCCATCAGAGCAAATGATTCCCCTGCTATAAGGAAATGGGACATCAAGAGTTAAGAACATGAACTACAAATAAACACCTACTTTTTTTTTCTAGTCAGAGACACAGTTATATTTCCAACAGCACAAATAATGCCACATGTGAATATTATTTACTAATTTCCCATTTCTTTGTGCTACTAAGAACTGGCACCAACACTTCCAACCTGAAGAGACTTTACATACATCACTATCTTACAGAGAAAAAACATTTCCAAACCCACAAAAATTCCCAAACCACAACACTGCTTAAAAAAACACCTCAAAAAACCAAAACTGTATCTAAGACTTTTTTATTATATTGTTTGTTTTTTTTTTTTAAAACAGAAAATATATATGGATACAAATATATAGGAAATCGAAATATATTCTTAGGCACTAGACATGAAGCAGTTTTTTTTCCCCAATTCATATGTTTAGGTTCTTGAGGACTTGTGGTTTTAATATACTTTATATTATTATTATATTTTAAAAATAATTTAAAAATACTTTTAATATGCTTATATAATTTTTTAATATACATTTTATTTGTGTCTTTTTATTTTTCAGAGTTATATACATTTGCTAAACTTCTTACAGCCTCCTGCAACTACTTTCAGTCTAATCCCCTTCCAGAAATATTATTTTACCTAGGAAACTTAATATGCATACATGGACATTTTTGTTTGCTTGCTTGACTGCCAAACTGAAAGAGTTTTCAGTACAGCCATTACTGGATGACAAAAAAATTCAGGCACTTTTTTCTTCTCCAGAGGAGAATGATTTGGAGACAAATGGTGATATTCATGCAGCAAATGGAATGTGGATGCTCTCAGATCCTTGAACTTTGGTCTCCTATTAGGAACACAGCTCATTATTCAGCAGCCCCAGAAAGAGTATTCTGGAGTGCACCTCGGCCTCTCCTGCTCGGGATATTCCATCTCCTGTGTCAGCACTAACCAGGCCAGCTGTGCTGGGAGATAAAGAGAAGTGTTCTCCTGACAAAGACAACAGCTGGAGTCTGGCTGTGCTCTCATGGCAGCTTCACTCCTTCTGCACAAAGGAACAACTTCAACGGGAAAGAACGGAGGGAAAACTGCTTCAGAACACCCTGCCTGGCTGCAGCCAGAGCTCTCACCTGATACTGGGAGACCAAGCTCAAGGAATTTGAAATCACTGGAAAAGTTCTTTACTCTGCATTTAGGAAAATGAAGTTTGCCCCCCATTTACATGTGTCACACTCATGTATTCAACTGGGGTTTTTTGCTAAAGTATGACCTGCCTATTTGACTGGAGAGAGTTTCAGTCGTGGAGTGCACTGTTCAAGCTCTAAAAAGAGAGTTTAAAAAAACCAAAGGCATATTGGGATATGTAAGATCTTCAGCAACAAAATATCAGAAGACAAATTACTGCTGTAATCTGTAGAACATCCATAGGAAATACCTTAAGCAAGGTCTGTCTATGGCTTTCACGCTTCCTTTCTTCCTCTTTCCTTGCTGCAACAGAGGCCATACGTCTTTCTTCTTCCTGGAAGTCAAAACAAAAAAACAAATTCCTAAAAGCAGGAACTAATCAGGTTCTGAAAAGTATTACTGATAAATCATTGATACGGTTTTGTGTTGGTATTTGAAACGTAAATTTTCACTTCGATACCGTTTTAGAATTTTTATCATTTTAATGTTTCTAAGTATTAGTAAACCAATAAAATTATTAACTATAAAGGTATACAGAATAAACAGATAACTACTCCAAGTTAAAAGTAATATTTGTAAGGGCCTTTGAAAAAGTAGAAAGCAAATGGTGAGTATGACAGTGAAAAAGAACATTTTTAAATATAACAGTGCAATGCATCTTGGTATCTTTGTAGTAGATTTTGCAATCAGTAGGACTTTTTTTGCAAGAAAAGGCATGCAGCAAAAAAACTGGGTTCTATTTATGCTTAATCATAATCCAAGACTAATTTGCATCATTATAAACTATTTCCAGGGGTTGCCTTCTCTCAATCATCAAGGTAACTTGAGAAGAAAAGGAACAAATAATTAGCATTATTTCTCAATATTATTACCTAATCAAGTAGAAGTCTCAAGAAGAAAGCCATTGATTCCTAAACAATGGAAGTTGCTTAATTTTCCTGGTACAGCAATTTGATACTGCAATACCCCCATATTAGGTTGGATGCCTGTTGTTTACAGAAGTTTAAACATTCTCACAGCACAGTATTTTTAGAACATATAATTTCCAAGTAACAAAAGAAATGTTCACTATGAAGTAAAAAGTGTAGATTCCTTCCAACACAAATATTTGGGAAGCATACTTTAACTTATTTTGATTTACTTCACATGCCATTTGGGCATTTCTATTAAAGTGTCTTCCCAGAACATATGAAAAGTGTTTTCATTTCCCTCAAAATAGAAAGCTCCTGTCCTAACCTTTGCATTTTCTGGAAAAGTTATGTGTTAACAAAATTAACAAACAAAAAATGAACTGAAAGCATCATCAACCACGAAGACAAATTGATATGTCAAAATTTCTACATAAATAAAACATGCTATGTTTAGAGGATTGTAAGAACCCCTAAGCACAGGGGTGAGTGCTTACTGGAAGGGGAAACAAAACAGGAACTTCACACTTAGCATAAAACAATTTCCAAGCACAAGAAGTTTGGCTCATGTGACAGACCTACCCTGATCTGTGTACAGTCCCCCTGAAACCCACTGACATACCACAGATTTCAGCATCACTCTGAAAAGTGGTTAAACAACAGATTTCCAGATCATTCCCCCATGACTTTTTATCCTAGTATCATGTATTAAACAAGAGGAGTACCTCAATGCAGATTAAGGCATGAGGCTTTGGCCAGAGCAAGCTTCTCTAACCCAAATGTATGCAAGAATTTCCCAGGAACACTAACTGTAAAGCCTAATTTTTATTTTTTTTTTTAATGTAACTTTTTTTTTTCTTATTCTGAAAGCAACTTGTAGCCCTCTTAATGGTGAAGTTCTGTTGGCAGCCTCCTTGGCTACTGGGATTTTCAGTTATTCCTGAACAGGGTATTTCCAAGCAGGTAGTGTCACAGAATTACAGATTAATCCAGGTTAGAAGGATCAACTGGTCACTAGCACACATTAAAGGAGGATCACCAGTAACTAAATAATAAAATGAAAGCACACAGTGGTACAAAAGGCCTTCTAGATGGCAATGTAACAAAATACCACATAATGAAACTCAACACCTGAATGGGAAGGTTCAGGGGCAAGCTGTGAAAATCGTGACACAAACCCCATGCAGGTAACATGGCACATATATTAATAATTATTATCATTGCATAATAAAACACAACATTATATATAATAATATATCATATATATTGCATATAATATGAATAATCGGTAATAATGCAAAATACTCTGTTCCTCAAGAATTCAAAACTTCAGGAACTGCAAACATTGTTCTCATGATAGCTGTTCATTCCAATTATGTATTCCAGTGTAGAGTTTGCTACAAAGTCTTAAAATAAAGGATAGACACTACCAAACTACATTAGTGATATCTTTCTCTGGAAAGACAGATTTGTATCAGGAATTTTTAATTTTTTAATTAAATCTCTCAATTTGACCTGGCATTTATTTACCTCCCTTTTTCCTTGTTTCCCCTCACTACTCTGCTGTTACGCTCCATGGCTGTTCTGTCTCTAAACCAAGCCTTGCTGGACAAGGCGGGGATGCCTTTCCAGGGGGTTATTCCCGAGCTCACAGAATTCCAGGACAAGGCGGGGATGCCTTTCCAGGGGGTTATTCCCGAGCTCACAGAATTCCATGAGCCGACAGTGCCCTCTGCCGCTACCGGGGCGCTACCGCAACACCCCGATCCCTGCCGCTCTTCCAGGAGGGAACATCCACAACATTTGGGGAGAATCCTAAAGGGACCGCAGTGGAACGCACCTATTCGTCCTCACTGCTGCTTTGATACTCTGCAAACAAGTTCTTTTTCAACAAATGACACAAGTGACAGGAGAAGAAGGTGCTGGGTCAGCACACAGGCAATGCAGCATTTGATCACCACAGTACACCTACCTTGTAATTATTCACACAATTGTACTGTAGATTAGAAACAGCTATAGTCTACTTGATATAAACTATTTTAGGTAATCAGAACCACACGGAGAATGTGAAGAATGGCCTGGAACATACTTTGCACTTTCAAGGCAGGGAGAGACCCAATGCAGTACATTTAAAATACCCAACATTCAGCTCACACTTGCAGAAGGCAAATTGCTCTTTGTTTTGTACACCACAGAGGCTGATTTTAAACAGGAATGAAGTAAGAATAGTTCCAGTAGAAATACAGCCATGGAAAATTATTGGTAAAACATATTGTCAAATATCACTTAAAGAATGATTCGACAATGAGCTACATCTTCTGTTTTTACTTTCAGCATTAATTTGGTATATTTTCACAAGACCTGATTAAAGAGAAAGAATTATGATCCAGAATAATGATTGTAGAAGTTCCTGAAGTATCTTATTTTCCAGTGGAAAGAAAGAAAAGGGAACCTTCCCTAAAAAACCCAGAACACTTTATGGTGGTGATGGAATACAGTTACAAATTCTACTCTGGATAAAGCAGTAGAACCTACTCCCTGATCAGCAGTGAAATGTCTAAGCAAATAATCAAAACCAAACACAGCTCTCTAACTTTAGACATCCAAAACCTATAAAACCTCAATGAAAAGAAGCAAAACTTTACTTTTAAAGAGACACAGTTTGTCTTTCAATTTGGCAACCACAGCACATTTTAAAGAAATATGCACTGTGTATCATATTTACACACACATGTAGAAATATATATACACTTATCAAATTCTTTTGAGGAAGTCTATTTGAAGTGATGAATAGCAACTGTTCCTTGTTAAATAACTCCTCAGTAAGGACTATGTACTCATTTCATTCATATTTTGATATTTTATTACATGTCTGCAGACAATATTTGCTTACTCTTACCAAAGAGTGGAGGAAAACAGATTGGTCACAGCTAAACTAAAAGCACCACTGGGTAGGCCCCCTTTTGGAAGGGTTCAAACTGCAAAACACATTGAAAAAGCTTCAGTGTCCAGAAAAACAACCATTAGAGTGCTTTAACCAAAGTAAATAATTACAAATGCAGCCTGACCCTGCCCTGACTGTAAGGCACTTCAACCTCACAAGCCCATTCCATGAAAACCTTCATCCAGTCCCATCACCCTGCAACAAAGGTGAGGTGAAGGTGCAGCTGAGAGACACACAAGTGACACTGTGGAATCAGTCCAGCCATGGTAATTCAGCCCCAGTCTCTAAGTCTCTAGGGCTGATCTACCACAGCTCAAGAAAGCAAAATATTTCCATGGAAAAAGTGGACAGGTTTTTCAGCTGAAAACCATCTTCTTGCGTGGACAAGGAACAAGTTTTTATGGGCTCACAGTGGAACTCAGTGTAGGTGTGTAACCTGCACTGATGCCACCACCACTGGGTTCCTGCCTCAGTGGTTTGAGAGCTTCAATCTCACATTCAAAAATGGCTTAGCAATGAGATGTCCCAAGAAAACAGTGGCTTCCTCACGGGTCAGGGTTTAAGAGTTGCCATAATACCACACAATCCCTGGAATAAAGGGAAATCTGCCCTGACTTAAGCAGTATTAGAACAATTACAATGCAGAAATGTTTTATTCCAAGTGCAGTGTATCTGATTCTCATAGCAGCTCTATGTTTCTGAACAGTCCCCTAAGGCAGAGACAGTTAGCACCAGACTTTTGCACCAAGGTTCCCTTTTTCCAGGGAATCCTATGGAAAAGGCCTGGCACCAAAGAGCATGTGTCTTCTTGAAACCCAATGTGAATAAAACTTCCAGATCTCTTGTAAAGTTTTGCAAATATCCTTAAGATTTTATTTTTTCTTGAAATAATTTTCCTGTCCCAGTGAAGTCAGTAGGTAAAAGTTAAAAGCAGAAGTAAAAATTGCATAAAACTCAGCTCTTGAGCAGAAAATAGTCTGAAAAGGTTAACAAAGAATTCCTAGTCAGAAAAAAACCACCACCATTCAACTCTCAGGTTGTTACAAGACAAAGCAACACTTAAGTTCAAAATGATCTGGGCACTTTTCAGGTTAATGAAGAAAAGATCCAAATATAATTAGAGTTTAGGTTCACTAATTGAGTGAGAAAAAGCACATACTCAATGCTGTATTTTCATTCCCCCTCCAAGTAAGACCTACCCTTACAGGTGGTGGCCACAGGATGTTGCATTATGAGGCAGAACAGCTGGATTTGAGATTGTCAGCTCTCAAATTTTATCACACATCTCAGGATACTTGTTATTTTTCCTTAAATCCCAGTGTCTTAAGTCATATGATTATCTGAGTAACACAGTTTTTACTGGAGAAAATATACAGCACCCTCTATATGAGGAAAATATTAAAAGGCTCAAAACCAGAAGGCAAATAAAGAATGCAAAGCACATTATTTTTACAAGTAAGTTTATGAGCAGCAGAAGTGGTGAAGCCTGGTTTTCTATGGCTTTTTGTCTTTGTGGTTCATTCTCTGATGTTTAACAAGGTGCAAACCCAGATTAAGTTCTTCCCATGGCTGTGCCTTTCTAAAAACTTTTTCCCAATTCAGATCCCATAGAGTCTAAAAAGGAGTTTGAGCTCTTTCTAACAGTTTTTCCCATCACTGAGATTTCTACCATGATCATCCCCTCTTGAGAAGGGCAGAGCAGGGGGGCAAGATGGAGAGAGATTTTCATTATGTGATCAAGTTCCTCAAATAATACTGACAAAATAATGTCTTTAAAAGCAAACTAATTACCAAGTATTGAATTAAGTCAGTATAAATTCACCAAATATAAAAAATCCCAACACACAGAATATCTGTGAGCAAACAAGTATTAAGTATTTTCAACGCTGGGAGCAAAACCTCTCATGTCCCAAGCACTTTATTTTTAAAATTAATGTTTTCCACATACATGTCCTATTTTACATTCTGACTGGCTCTGTTTTATACTAGTGGTGGATTGGTTGCAGGACAACAGGATACATGGCAAAGCAACAGCTGCTGTAATGCAGTACAGCCTTTGTACAAAGCAAATGAGCATTTAAAATAAATTATGTGGTCAAAAAAGATAACACTGCAACACTTGCTTACTGCTGGATAGATTTCTCTTGTAAGGCCATGCTTACACACCACTTTTGAGTAGACACAGAAGAATTAGCAAGGCTATTCCTTCATTAAAAGGGAAAATAGGTGATTTTAAGACCCTTGGTAACTGCCCTTCAGAGTGTAGGAGACTTAGTTGTCTGCAAGTCCTCTCTCCCTTATCAAGGTTATTTGGACTTGAGCAGCAGGAACACAAATGAGTTAAGAGAGCAGGACAGGTAAGAAAAGGAGAAATACAGACACACAAAGTGTGTGATCACCAGGTTTCCTCAGGGAGGCAGATTTAAGAAGCCAATGAAACTCTTAATGAAAGAAGATACCAGTTACACCAATTTTAGGGCAAACAGAGCATTCCTTTGGAAGGAATATGCTGCTCCTTCTCACCTATACAATAAACCAGTAAAGACTGTCAGGAAAGTTCTAACCAAAAACTTTGCAGACTCCCTCACGTCACGTGGCAACTGAACACACAGTATTTACTGCTGAAAAGTTTTAGCACTTCAAAATACACATTAAGTTGAAGTAAAAAACCCACACTCTTATGTTATACTGAAGAAAAAAGGTTAAAGTTTTAAATATTATAATGCCTATGCACCAATCAATTCCATGCTAAATTAAGAAAAAAAAAAAAGTATTCTCAATATACATATATTCACAGAAAACCCTAAATTTTACTTCTGAATTTAAGGATCTATTAAGTTTGATGAAAACAGAAATTTCTTACTGTGATTCTCTTCATATCTAGCTGTCGGAGCTGCATCATATGATGGAGAACAGTGTGTTTGTACCATGTCTCCTGAGCTATTGGATTGCCATCAAGGGTGATATCTGACAAAGATGAGGAATCAGCAAGGCACAGAATATCCTCAAAACTGTAACCAAAAAAGTTTAAAGTTTTAATGTCATAGAGTAAGAAGAATTTTGAGATGGAAGGTTTTATTTCTTAAGGATAGAACAAATATTTACTGGTACTGAAAAACCCCCACCCATCAATACTGTGTATGATAAATCCAATTATAAGTATTCTGAAATACCAACAACTGCTGCTGTTAAACTTGTTTATCTCTTCATATATAAATAAAGAGATGCAGAATAAGGAGAACTTGTTAACTATGGAAGCACAGTTTCACCAAACCCCCCTCTAAAATACGATACATATCAACTCATATTCCAAAAAAAATAATACAAGGTGTATTTGCCATCCAAGGCAACATGAAAAACATGGAAAATACAAGGAGAAAAGCCAACCATAAACACCACAGAATGATCCTTGGTGTTTGCAACATGATTAATACTGGAAGTAAAACAACTACAAAAGTATATTATCTTCAAAACAAATCAGGATATTGTTCTGAGTTCAGTCTACAAACAACACCAACTGGGCTTCTTAGACAACACTGGGCTTTATTACCTGCCAGTACAAAACTGGCCTGTGTAAAATTTAGAAATTTTACATTTAGAAATGTATAGCCTGTGTCATGGTCCTTTCACTGATGATGGAATGTGAAAAGAAAGCAGCTCAGAGGAACAGTATTTTCAAACGACAGAGAACTATTTAACTGGATTTAAAAGAGGCTGCACAGTTGTGGCAATAAATAAGACTCTCCAACACCTTTTAAGAAGTTGATTTCAATGTATGAATGTACAACTGTGCTCCCAGTCTTGTGTACTTTGGCCTCCAAAAGTCAAGTCTGCCTTAAGCCAAGTCAAACCTTAAGTACACCCTGAACTCGGGGATCCAAAATCATCCACACTGAAGAGGTTCATACTGAAGACTGTCACTGAATAAAGTGGCAATTGCTTTTATCATGCAATTATCAGCAGGCAAGGAGTTTCTGCATGATACCCCCAGTGAACACAGCAAAAAAATGACAGAATAAAGAGGAAGATACTCTGCCTTTGTGCTCAGGGTATGAGAACAACCTAAAAACCAACAGAAAATTAACTATGTCCAGACTGTGCTGAAGGCAGTGAGGGTGCTGAGCACATCTGAAGAATTGGGTGTTCTGTACATGTGGTTAAAGTGACAAGTTTGATTATCATTTTCTGCTTCTTTTTGAGATTCAGTTTCCTCTCCAGAAAACAACTCCTGGAACCACATTTTTGGAAGATTAGGCTGACATGTTACTTAAAATACATACTCAACATGTCCTGAAGATGAAAGATATTCTTCCCAAATAACACAGAATTTAGCAAACTTCTAAACATGTTAGAATAAACCAACCGAATTTCCATTGAACAAGAAGAGATTTTGCCTGACAAACGTGAAAATTTCTGGTCTTCAAAATTATTTAAAAATTTAAATATATTTAAAAGCATTAAATATATTTATTCCAAGTACTTCCCACTAAACATTTAACCAAACTGTACTTCTGCCATTACATATGACTTACAGATTTCCCTTTCCAAAAGGCCTTCTCCTGCAGGAGTCCCACCAAACTATGGCAACCCTCTCTCCTTCCTGTCCTTCTTTCCTCTTAGATAAAATGTTTTTGCTACAACGGTAGTTTCAGCAACACAGAAACAAAGTGTGAATTTGGGCTAAATTCTCAAAAAGTGTTTCCTGGAAATCTTTTCAGAATAGATCAGTTTTACAATCTTGTGTTCATGCTCAGAGTCCTGCATCCAATTCTCCCCCTGCCAGAGGGGATGCAAACCCACTTCTCCTGCCTCACATGAGAACGTGGCAATTACTAAACAGCAGAGCATCCTGGAGTGTTGTTAGCTCAACCTCCAGCAGTGACACACACTTACACACAAGACACAGGAACACTTATCCTCTGCTTTTTAAAAGCATGTTCCATAAAGGAGAAAAGCTCTGAAATAGAGAAGGAAGGCAACATACTCACTACAGTCTCATAAAACACCTGAGGGGGAACTGTATGTTCAAAAAACATTCAGTCAAAGAGGAAAACTTGGATTTTTTCATATTTCTAACCACCAAACTACCGATGAAAACAGGTGTTACCACAGCCAACCTTTCATTCCCGTTGCACTGCTTTTGTTCAAGCATTTAACAACCTATTTATAAATTTTCATTCTGCTGAGAAAAAAAGGTATGGTCCTGTTTTTATCAGGCTAAGAACATTCCTTCTCTTGGGTTTCCAAGTCAGCAACCAAATGAAGAAAAACTATTACATGAGCTTGTATTCATCTCTTCCCCTATGGCCAGACAAGATACTTGCTAAATGAAAAAAGCCAACATAGTGCTGACCTGGGCAGCAACGTAACAGTGACAATCTGTATTTTGTTTTCAAGACTAAAAAATGGTCTTTCCCAGTGTGACATCTGAAAACATGAGCACTAACCCTCTTTCTGAATCCCAGTGGCATATCTTTCCTGAAAAAGTTTCTGCAACCTTTTCCCTGCACCACAAGACAAATTCAGAATGGGATATCTCCCCCTTCTTTATAAGGGGGATATAGTTCTGGATATATATATGTATTACCTTCAGCCATCAGCTATGAACACTTTCAGTTTGTAACTGCTAAGTATTTTTGGGTTGAAGCCAAAACCAGGACTTCTTTGTTTCAGACCAGCATCAACTCCTACAGCATTTGGTTTTCACTTCCATTATCTTGCCAATGCATCCTTTTTGACTTGACTGCTCTGCAGAGAAGCAGCAGGATTCTGAGCCCTCCTCTGAGGCGTGAGGTAAAAAAAAAAATAGTGATTCAACCCATGATGGATTCTCATGCTTTAAATAGTGACAATTTTAAATGGCATTCCCGAGTCTTCTGCTGAAATATTAATTCAATATGTCAGTGTGTGTCAATGTAAGACCCAGGGATTTTTGCTGACACACAAAAACAGGAACGAGGAAAACTTTCCACGGAAGCATTGCCTGAAAAATGCTGTTTTTTAAAAAGGAGCATTAATAAAATATTTTCATGAAACTGTAACAAACATATTCAAGTTTTGGCAATTTTTTTTTTGTTTCCATTTGTTGGTTTTTTCTAGGCACCTACAGACAAATGAATGAGAGTATTTGTGAACCAATTTGCTTGTCAAAGAAAATTCAGTTATACAGATGTGGCTGTTTCTAGGGAAAATAATTCTTCATTTTACCACATGGCACACATTAAACTCAAAAGCACACAAAATCATTTAAAAGGGGTGTAAGAATGTTCAGATGGAGCACAGCAATTCACAAGTATTATGGTTACATAGAACTTCTTCAGTCAGTTCAAACAGTATCAAGCCAAGCATCAAAATCAGACAGTCAAGAAGATCTTGTATATTTAATCATTTTCCTGCTTGAAGACAGATCTACTACATAACTCAAAATCAGGAATTAATGGGAGTTTTAACCTTCAGAACTGCAATATGTAATAAAAGTTTGCTATTTAAAAAATCCAAGCTAAATGTGTTCAAAAGAAATTTTTAATTTGTTTTAAAATAATGACTAGTAAATAAAGAGTTAAACTTATCCATCCACCTATCTACCCACATATGTGCACAAAATTTATAGAAGAGCAAAGTCTTTTGTTTAACCTTAAGGGGTTTTTATACCTATTCCAACTGAAAATTTAAACTAAATTATGTATTTGCACACATGTTCTAAATAAATATTTCTAGCTTACATGAAAACTGAGTTGATTTATTAATAGTTCAACTGAAGCCCCGATAAATAAATAACAAAAATTATGATATAGGACCAAGAAGCAAGCTACTGATCACATGAACTTTGAGAAATTTATTTCAAAATCTCACAGAAAAAACAGAACATTTTCCCTTCTTTGAACACTGTAAAAATACCAGGAATTTGCATAAAACAATTTGAGAAAGGAGTCAGAAAGAGACACAAAATATACTGAGTATATAAAAAGAGATGGAAATTGCACTGACTGCAGTGATGCTCCCTGACAGCAAGGGAGGCAGTTACTGCAGTCCCCTCCTTGTTCCTGCCAACCTGAGACCTTTTTTTAGAAAACCAGAAACAAAAGGCAAGTCTCAATTCTGGAAATTATTCAAGAGAAGCAAAATGCTAAACTCCTCTTCATTATGCCAACTGAAAACATAAGATAAAAAGGGCTAGCTAATTAACTAAGGGAAGAGCATATTAAAGATCCCTGCAGTTCACCTTTGAATTTTTTTTAAATGCTTAATAGCCATGAGTATTTAAGATGATGTACTGCATTTGTACTTTAAGAGCCTAAGGAGCACAGACAAGTAGGTTGGAGCTGTCTGCAAAAAACATAATGCAGGTCAGCATAAAATGTTTGAGTAGCTGTTACAATAAAAGCCCACACTAAGTGCAACATTTTACAGGGAAAGCAGATAGCACGAGAACAGCAAGGCATTTCCAGTAATTAGAACATGAAGCCTCTTTCCCCTACCCCACATTCAATTATTTGATTCTAAACAAAGAAAGCTGCTGGTGATCAAGGGATTAAAAAAAGGACATACCAATCTGAAGATAATGCAGGCACTTTTTTTTGTTTAAATACTGGCACGAGTATAAAGGCAGACTCGAAAAATGCATTAATATGAAAAGGCACAGAAGACAAACAGTTCTATTTATAACAAAATGCTCTTAGTTACTTGAAACTATAGAAGACCTGCTTTGTGAGTTGAGCTATTCTGCTTCTGCATCTGGTCTGAAAGGGAACCATGAATATACCTTTCAGACTTTATTAATATATGGACAAGCAAAATACAAGCATGAAATAATCTCCCCATTGTAAGCAGAATCTGACTCAGCAGTTTGTGTAACTCCATAAATACAGGGATGGTATTTTAGGCATAATTTGTACCTTGCATAATGTTGCTCTAACAGACATCTAGGTTAACAGTAAAACAAGAGATCCACAAAACCACGTCTGATTTTGACCCCTATAAACAGTATGATCATTTTTAAATTAAAAATACATGTTTCTTGGTACAATACTCATAGTACAACTAACATTTAAATGCAAAGGGTTTAAAGAATTTTCATGTTTAAATTAGAAAATACACAATGGCTTGGTTATGTTATCTGATATATTAGGGGGGAGAAGAAAAGTATCTTTACTCACAGTGTTTGAATTTTAACTGTAATGAAATACAGCTCCAATAGGATATTTCAAATTACTGATAGGAAGCAAACTACTATTTCCCTTACCTAGATATATTGTTGAAGCTGAGGAAGAGACGCTGGAGACAGGGCAAAGTATCCACATCTTTCTAGAAGGAAGAGACAGAGGCACAAATTCAGTAGCTGAAGTAGCTTTTGAACCTCTCTACCTGGCCTGATGAGACACTTTCATTTCTGGATGCCATAACCTCGCTGCAACACTGATTTCTGTTGAAGGTGCAGCTCCATCTCTCCCCAGTGCAGACTGCAAGGGAGTGTTTCAGTGCAGATCCCCACTCTGCAGAACACGCTGCATCACTTGCAAAGCAAATGATGTTAAAGAAAAAGAAGATAGGGCTGCTGCTGATTTTTGAACAGGCTTTTGGGAAACAAGCCAAGGTGCTGTCTCAGCACTGAAGCTGCAGGATAAACACGCAAAAAAAAAAAAAAAAGGGAAGAAAAAAAAAGAAAAAGGTTTGCTGAAATAAGGTTTTTGAAGTGCAATACAGCAGTGCAAGTAGCACCACCAAACAGCAGTGACTCTTCTGTCAGAGAATGATCTGAAGGACTCTGTCACCTTTACAACCTCTACAATTAACATTTTCAAAAAGGAGCAAGCTTCCAGAATAAGCAACTGTAAATTTAATATATGCCACTAAAGACCTTTGCAGAACACCTCTAAATAGCAAATAGCTCAAATATTAGTAAGATGAAACGTATCAAGTAATATCATTTAACATATCAAGTAACTTCATTTGTGAAATATAAACCCATAACAGACAGATATCACAGTGTGCAGTGACTCACAAACCATTCAGCCTGCACACCTAACTCCTCTGTTCCAAGCCTGCATCTCCTCACCCTGCTTAAAGCCAGTGGACACAAAGCTCAGAAATGGAAAGGAGCATCAGAGCTCCCTGCCTTGATTTTGGCCACACGATCAAATCTAGAGCTCTTCCTCCCTCCATAAGATTTGTGACACATCCACAGAGCATTCCAGAACCAGTTCATTCCAACCAAACAGGTGAACAAAGGCAGCTCTAAACAAAGCACGGAGTTGCTATTACTGAAACCCCAAATGTGAGCTACCAAGGGCTGCTGAGAGTCCCTGCTGGGTACAGTGAGCAGGGCTCACGTGGTCAGGTCTGCAGCTGCAAAACTCCTGGTTAGAGCTGCCCTGAATCCTCCCAGGTCAGACCATGGAAAGCTGGAGTTCACAAGAGAATTACACCTGGACATCCCCTCTGCCCCTGAGGCTACTCAGTGCTGATGCCTGAAGGGGTGGGCACACATGACATCAGTGGACATACACATGAAGACAGGCATTATAGGGTGGCACATAATAATTCTTTAGCAGCAATGATTTCAACTAATCACTGGAGAAGACAAATTCCCATAACTAAAATGATATGTTACTGCCCTGTAAAATATGTTGGAAGTCTAACAGGTGTGACAGCAAACACTAGGCAAGATTATTAAAAAAAAAAAAACCTCCAGCTACTTCAGTTTTTATACAAAGTCTTATAGGGCAGTAGACATAGAAGGCAGGAGCTCTTTTGTGAAAAGATGGTGAACACCTTGAGCAGTCCTCCTTCAAGTCTAAGATCAAGCTGCAGGTAAAAAAATCCAAAATTCTAAACTTTTAATACCTCAAAGCAAACAAGCAGATCAGTCTTTCAAAGAAACAGTGTCCCTAATTCACAACAGGAAAATAAATAGTTATTTCATAGCTCATGGTATGTATAGATTTGTGCTTTTAATGCCATACAAGCTATAAATAAATACTGTTTTATTTTAAAAGGCTCTTGTTCAAAGAATATACTTGCCATACCTGAACTACAGCTCAAATTGCTGAGTGAAAAACTTTATTTTTAGAACGTGAAGACTTACAATGCTGGGCTGAAACTTGAACTGGGAAATTCTGCTTTTATGATCAATACCTCTTTTCTCTGCATTTGCCCCAGAAACATTCTTAAGATCATGAAATTTAACATGATCTGACTGCTTAGCTAAACTACAGAAATTGGGACTGTTTCTAGAAAACAAAATTGTGTGGAAGAAAAGTATCTAAATTTGTATGCAGACCACAAATCTGCTCCAGAAACTCTTTACCCCCCTGCTAGAGAAACATCATGAGCTTTCAAAATTTGAAGCACTACAAGTCATCATAGAATCATAGCAAAGTTTGGGTTGGAAGGGATCTTTAAAGGCCACCTAAGTCCAGCCTCCCTGATCACATTTAAAGACAATAACACCAAAAATTAATTTCTCTTTTTTTCACCTTTATGTTGTGAACTGAAATATTGCAGGAGAAAAACATGAAACAACACAAGGAAAACACAAGATTTCACAAATCTGAAATGCTGATATGGTTTAAACAAGTTATAGTGCATTTTGTCAAAATCAAAGAAAAGGGGTAAAAAGGAAAAATGAAAGAGTTTTGCTCCTTACTATAGCAGAGACTTGATTATGACGAAGGTTGAGCTCTGTGAGGGAATCCAGTCCATTCAGATTTTCTACAATGGTCAGTAGGTTTCTGGCAAGGTTTAACACCCTCAGTTCACTCAAATGACCGATGTTCTCTATTTTAGTAATCTGTGAAAGAGTATGATAAAGATGCTCACTGTGGTTTAAATGGATATAAAATAGATACACATTGCACATACTTTTTGTAAAAAAAGTAAACATGAACAATTGAGTTAATGCAATAGCGTGCTTGTGGATTTTTATAAACCATGACACTCATATCCAACAGCTGAAAACAAGTTACAGTCTGCCAGAAACTCAGAATGAATATTCACTAATACCCTTCTGGCCACGCTGCAGTAAACCTCAGTCAACATTTCCTTCCTGCCATCAGAAATCAGGTTACTTCAGCTGTGCTGCTCTGCAGCAGCAATCTCAAAGACACCATAAAACCAAGACAATGCTGATGATACCAAGGTGTGCCGAAATGAGGAAATTCTGTGCATGGTTCATCCTTAATTTGTCTGCAAAGACACTCAAACAAGTCTCCTGGTGCCTATGCTGCAAGAATAAGCAGCATCTTACCTTCCTACCATCACAGAACTCTGCACCAATTTCCCTTCAGGACTCTTTAAGTCAGCAGCAGCACTCACAGCTCTATCTACAGGGGCTCCACAGACAGATTTTGCAGCAGGTCATGAGGACAGGAACCTGCTGTGAGGCAGGGGCCAGTAGCACCCACAGCCTCTGAAGAAGAAAACAACTATTTGAAATTGCAGCTTGAAAGGAAGTTTTATGAGCAGGTAATCGCTGGGATCAGAAAGACATAGTCAAAAGTTAGGAAAGAAGCAGCAGCATCCTTAGTTGGGATACACAGCACATCTGCTTGACAGCCCTCAGCACTTCAGCAACTCATGGCTTCCTGTGATTAGAAAATGCAGGGATCAAACAAAGAGACTGAGCTACAGTAAACAGGCAGCTGCCAGACGTTGGCTCTTACACTTTATACCCTATTCTAAAGATTCAGGTGACAATGAAAAAAAAAAGTAATAAAAAGAGTAAAAATAGCTAATGATCCTTAATTTTATGTTTAACTTCTGGAAAAACAATTGTGTTTTACAAAGGCATTGATTACTGCTCTGGTGACACAACATGGGTTCCCTTTCTGCTGTTAGTATTCCTCAGTGATCCACACAAGGCTGTCTGTGCAGATATTTATTTCTCACAGTGGTCTGTCCTCCAGCCCCCATGCAGACACTTATGCATGACTTGCATACAAGGAGAAGGGGAAGCACAGCCACTGCATGGGGAATGTGCCTGTCATACTCCTGGTGAAACCTGTGCTGTGTGGCAAAAAGGCAGCAGGTTTTCCTGTGGAAAAGACTCCAGCCAGCCACCCTGTGGGGCAGTGCATCCAAGGATACAGTGCACAGAGCTACTAACAATGTCCTAACACTGTCCCTTCCAACGAGAATGATCATCTGCTGGGCCACTGCAAGCCCCCTCCAACGCCCAGTCCTGGGGCACACCTTCCCTGGTGTCACCTTCCCAGGGACAGTGAACTTCCTGGGGCTTTAGACCAGCACAACCCTGGCTGTGCCAGTCTGCAGCAAGTTCCTGACACTTCCTGGAATAGAAGAGGCAAGGCAGCTATTATTTAACAGTCTGAGTTGGTAATTTTCATGTATGTACCCACATATGTCTGTGGCATATGACTGAAATATGCTGCTATAAACAGTACTTCAGCAATTTTTCTATTAAAAAACACACCAAAGTAGATATCAAGACCAAAATTAAATAACATCCTAAGCCTGCTTTTGATTCAAGTGCTAATTAAACTATCCACTTACGTGCATTTTATGCAGGGGGAAAAAATTATCAGGATACAAAAATATTACAGCAGGAGGAACAGAAAATGCCACCATTTAGAAGAATATATTTAGACAAAAAAAACTTGTAAAAGCAACACTGAGAGCAGATGGCTGGCACGAAGAGCACAGACCTCTGCAGATATCTGCTTAGCCAGAATTACTGCATGCCACAGGGTGGAATATTAATCCTGGCATTTTACTGCTACTGCAAAGATAATGATTTCATCATCAATGTATAGAGATACTCTCACACTTTGCTAAATTTCCAGATTAACTCTACTGGATTTCCTGTTTCAATTATTCATGCCCACATGAAGGGACACCAGCTTCTCATATATACCATTAGATATGGAATAATACAAGTTATTATCACCTTTTTTTGGGTGATTCAAGTAACACTTTGATAATACTGTAAAGAAATTATATCTATGACTGTTTTCTATTAATTATAAATAAAAAAGGATTGTTAACCATTTCTATTTGCCTTTTCAAGTATACAAGTCAAAGACTACTTGTAAACACTGAACAAAACCACTATTCTGTTTTCTTGTTTGCTTGTACCTTTGAATACTTCGCTATGAAACAGACCTCAGAAGAAGGTTTTTTTGCCCCTAATAATCACTCATTAATAATTAAATTGCACAAATAATTAAATGCACAAAAGTTGCATCTTTTAAAAAACATTTCTGAGATTACTGAAAAGAAGTTCACGTCTGTAAAAAATCAGGTTTCGTTATTTGTCCTTCTACTTATATCTTGAACTTTTGGCAAGAAAAGTAACTCACAGAACTAAACAGAACACAAGAAATTACTCCAATGACTTTTTATACTTCAAGCATTCTAGAATAAAATTCCTGTGTAGGGTCCCTGAATGATGCAGTATCCTGTGTCCATATTAGTGTGTTAATCATAGAAACAGAGTCTCTATGTGAAAATTCAATTAGTGGTACCAAAATGCTGTATTCTTACAAATTTTTACTGGGCAGTATTAGTATCAAGAGCCTTAATAAATCATGTAGAAACACAGGTAAAGAGTAGTTGTATGACAAAAGAATTCATATTTTGTCATTTTGTCATTTTTTGTGAGGCATATGCATTAAGTGCAGTATTTCATTAGACATAACACTGGGGGGGTTTTAACTTTCTTTTGACCACTTATTACATGAAGAGATTTTTTTAAGTATAATGCATTTAGAAAAACTTGATTTGAAAAAGAAAAGAGAAAAAAAAATCATACAAGGTTTATCATTTAGCATTGTGGAATACTATACCTCAATGTTTTAAAGTACATCTGGTTCCCAGTATATTTCTTACTTGGCAGGAGAAGTTTCAAAGTTCTGAGCAAATCATATCATCCAAAGAACCCAGTATGCAAATAAACCAGAATACTTTCCCAAAAGTCAACAAAAATGAAATTTTTCTCCTTCTCTTTTTCCTCACCTCCAACCTTTTGGAAACATTACATCTTCAGAAGTTTCCCAATCTGCATTCCATCTGCAGGACTGATTTACACTCCCAGAGAGAGGAAGGGAGGGACTAAGACTAAAACATGAATCCAGCTTTCCTCTTAACTGCTACTTCATGAACACTAACAAGAATAAATAAGTTCTAGCTAGGCTCTAGAACTATTTTTGATAAATAAAATTAGTAATATTCATATTCTGGACACATCCTATTTGAGTATTTATATCCCACATCAGCTGGAATAGAGTTATTTTTCTTCTTAATAGCTGTTACAGTGCTGGTTTAAATTTAGTGCAAGAATTATGCTGGCAACATGCTGATGTTTCAGGTATTCTAAGCAGTGCTTTCCCTAAGTTAAGGACTTCCAGTGTCTCATGCTCTGCCAATGAGCAGGGGCACAAGTCGTGAGGGCACAGCCAGGAGAGCTTCTATCTTTAGAATTGGATTTTAATTTGATTCAATTAAACTGTTCTTACCTCAACACACAGGTTTCACCTGTTTTTCTGATTCTCCTCCCTGTCCAACTGCAGGGAAGGGTGGTGTTGGTGAGCCAGGGGCTGGTGGTATTTAGGTGCTGCCTGGGGTTAAACCACAACAATCTACTCAGATGCCCACTGAGATCTCTCATCTTACACAGAATTACTGTGTATAATGAAAACAGCTAACATTTTTTGATAGCCTAATGTATTTCCAATACTTTACTATAACTTGGACACAAGGCCATTGTTCAGTGATCATCTGGGATCACTGGGAACACAGAAATGATTCTGAGCATAATTAACAATGCTCAATGATTGTTGTCCTTCTGCAGAACACCACTGAGATAAGGCTGGCTCTAATTTTACTGATCTGTTTTTTAAATTGTTACATTCTGGAACACTGGAAACTGTATTCTGAAGTTCTCACAGCTAATTCTGCTGTTGAAATCTGTTCTTCAAAAATTTACAATGTAGAAGAAATATCTCTTAAGATAGACTAGAAGGCTGCCCTAAATAAAAATACCACAAATTTAAATAGAGTTAAAAGAGCCCCTTATTCACTGTTACATAAGCAAACAACAACAACAAAGAACAGCCTTCAAACAGGGCACTAATACACTAAGCAGATACATTTCTTCCCTTCATTATGCCTTCAAAAAGAACTAATACTGTGTACAGCAGATTGGTGTTTCAAATTTTGAATTTCTCAAAGACAGGAAAAAAGAATCTAAACGGGATAACGTGCATATCTTTAAACTGGAAAGGAACGAAAAGGTAATTTATTAATAAAAATGAAGTTCGTAGTTTTTATCAGGTCTTTCCATGAAAAAAAATACAATAAACCTATCAAAAAAAAAAAGCAAAAAACCCCCAATTCCATTTTTTAACATTTGTGCCCTTCACATATATGTTTATGATTCAAACATTCTGAAAACCAAAATAACTTACTATATTCCACAGTATTAGTTCCTTACATAGGGTAATTTGTTATGTTCTCTGGATCAAAGTAGGACTACCATTATGAAGCTGATCTAGCAACAGCCAGCTGGGCACTATGCCCACAACTCCTAGTAGAGTTGTAATTAATGTAAAGAGAGTTGTACAGATACTTGAAGGGAAAAAAAAAAAAAGAAGGGGGGAAAACCAAGTCTGATCTACATCACCATCACTTGTAAGAGCTGTGCATGATGTGTTTCATTTCCATCAGTGATTCCTTCTTTTGTGTGCTGACTGGCACAGCTTTATCTGCAAGTATTTTTATCAAAAACATAACTCCCCTTAAATTTCCAACAGCAGTAAGAAAAGGATGATAACCACACAAAACCTTAGAATGAACACGTTTGGAGATGGCCAAGACTCCAAGGGCATTGCCATCATCTGGTCCTAGACTGCCTCTGCCACTGTATAACACACACACTGCTTGCCTGGTGTGACTCAATGCAGCCCCAAACTTACTGCAGCACTTTTAACAATAACTCCCTATAGTGCTGGCTTGCCTTTGTCTTTTTTTTTTTTAAAGCATTTCCACTCTTCACTGTCAAGCAATTGTATAATAAACACACACAGAGAAATCAGTAAGACATTAAAACCGCCAAAGAGGAATGCAGAGAATTCACACACTGGTCCTATACAGTCACAATAACCACATGTTGTTTTAAACATCTGAATTATGGGACATTTTGTATTACATGTGGTTTGAATTTATTTGACAAAGAATACTATATCCAGCTTGCCTCTGATACTCCATGCTGCTTCTGACATACCCATTAAACAAAAAATCTTCTTACATGTACTACAGTTAAAGCTTTATGCACCCCTTGAAGCACAAATGATTGCTTAGTATCAAATTGAGGAACCTGAACAGATGTTAAGTGACCTAAGTCCCTTCACAAGCACGAATCAACAAAGAGCTCAGACCCACTCTGCTTTTTCCTGCACAAATTTAAGTCTTCCACATATATGTAAGGGATCTGGTTTTGTAAGACCACCAACAGTAGAAACAACACAACAGTCAATGGGATCTTAAAATTTTATATGACTTCCAAGACTGTGTTACTTTAACTGCACCACAAATACTTGTGGTAGATGACTGTTGTGTAGGTGTGAGTGTTATTACACCCAGGGGACTCAATTTTAACTGCTGAAACTTTCCTGAAGTACAAGGCTGGAATTACAAGAGACTTAATACAAAGATTCAAAATAAACACCATGTCCCGTTTTATTACTTATTTCTGTGACCTCAAAAGTCGAAAAATTTGCTACCAGTTCCCTTTCAAGAAACAATAGTTTGGTAAAAGACACAGCACACACGTGATGTCTACACAAGAAAAATAAGTAATCAAGTTATTGTACTATACCTGATTTCCATGGAGATCTAAAACATCAAGGTTTTTTAGGTTCTCCAGATTTGAGATCTTCTTTATTCTGAAAGATTTCAATTATGACATAGATTATTTTTAGTATTAGATTAAAAGTATTTTTCATTAGTCATTTTTTCCTGGCTACCAAGAGTATCAGAAGAATAAAAAAGTTCTGAACCATGAAAAAAAAATTAATAAATGAGTATGCCTTAGACTATTACCTTCCTGACTGTCAATAATGCAATAGCAGCAGTATGTATGTGGCTCTTCTAGAGAGAGAAAAAGGAAGGAATCCTTGCTCCCCTAGAAAACAAAGTCGACAACCAACCTATCCAGATACCTAAATAATAGTAATTAAAAAAAGAATCTTACTGGTAAACAGCTAATTTCAAACCATTTTAATGAAAAACTATAGTGACACAGGCTTTTGAGAGTTTGTTAAAAGAACACAGAACTAAAAAAACCCTGAAAGCCCTTTCTAGACAACAGAGATCTCTAGGTTTGGCAGTATGTCTTCTTACCTGAACAAATTCATTTTCTTAAAACTTCTCTGTCCTGTCCTATTTTCTCAGATTCCAAACCTAGGCTATTATATTCTCAACAGCATCATCTACTGGCTGATGATATTACACACATGTGTGTTAAGCATTTGCTTCAAGAGTAACCAAAGATCACACAGAGATCAAGCTGAAAACAAGTTGCTTTCAACTGTGTCTGCCCTGTAATCAATCACTCCTGAGTATGTCTAGTCCTAACTATCCCCAAAACATACTTCTAGGCAAACAGGCTAAACTGCACTGGTTATGATATGGAAAGTAATTCCTCATCTTAAATTTATAGTTCCCATGCCCCAGTATTTTACTATAAACAAAACTGATATCTACAAGTAAGATTTTTAATACCAAAGCTATTAGCTCCAGTAATACACTGCACTGAAAGTTGTCAGGTTTGAATACAGGCTGAATTGGGAGGTACATTCTTTATAATCTACTTATAATTGAAATTTGTTCACCACTTCTCACTATACTGAATATAAAGAAAATAAGGAAGGTTAACAAGATGAGAGCACAGCCCTTAGGTACGTGAGCAATTCCACAGATACTTCTATTAAATTATCAGTATTGGAGGCTTAAAGATTAGAATCAATAAGTAAGCATCAAATTAATGACTCATCTGCTTGGTATTTTTCCCAGCTAAATACATCAGGCAGAAATACTTCCTGTAGGTTATAAATAATCAATGAATGCTCCAATTGATGTGAAAAGACATTCCACCTGTCACACCAATCTAAGAACACATATTTAACAGCTGATCAGAATAGAAGATTAGATGGATACATACAAAGTACTTCAGAATTCTTGCTAAAATATATGTAAGAAAGGAAGTTCCTGAAGAACATGACACACAAAAGCTGTGTCCTTTCTCAGCAGGATCCCTTATGAAGTGTTAGGGATGATCTCAAAGCAACATCACAAACTGAGAACTGTAAGTAACAGAAACAATGACAGATCACAGTTGTTACACCATAAAGAAGCAGGGTGCTTTAAGTTAGTTTTATTATTTTTACCTGTTCTTTCCCAACAAAAGGACTCTCAGGGATCTCAAAGTTGAAACCCCACTTATTTCCTCGATCTGATTATCATATAAATCTAAGAAAACAAGGTGGTGAAGATTAGAAATATTTTGGATCCGAGTTATAAAGTTATGTTGGAAATTCAAAAGACGAAGATGATCTTCCCCATCGATAACTGGGCACACTGTCAGTTTTTGCCTGGAAGAAAAAAAGAAACAAAAAAACCAAACCACACATGTAAGTAACAAATTGGTAACCCACCTTCAACTCACCCACTCTGACTGACCAGAGGGAAGTATATTATCTTAGTTAAGGTAACATGAAGGTAATTAGGTTTGTTAACTAAAGACTGTAAATAAAGTAACTCCTCCTACCTATTAAAAAATCAGCATGAAAACACAGCAGAAGTGTTTCCAAAATTTTCTGAATTCCTCTCCTCTTAGTCAGAGATTTGCTTGTTACATGGAAACTACATGGAAGTTTTGTGTTGTGACCACACTCAAATTTCACCAGATGCAGCCTCACAATTTTTTAAGTTTTTCATCAGATACTGCATAAACAGACAGTTGATATCAGAATTCAGTGTTCCACGTCTATGAAACTTCTCTTTGGTTTACAGAACTTGACATTTGAAATATAACTACATTAGTGTGCTGTGGCATGTGCACTGTCACCTTCTCACCTTTCCAGGGTAAGTCTATCAGAGTTCAGGATTTTTTCCTCAGCAGTGCGTTGCAATACAGGAAATGTTATTGATGAACTGCTCCCAAAATTTGTGTTATCTATTAGAAAAATCATACAGAGAACATATGAATTACTTTTTTGCAAATGCATTTCATTAACTACAGGTCTTAAATGCAAAATTTTCTTGCTTATTAAGAATAAAGCATTACATAGTATACAAAGTGTTTTTTGCATCCATTCAGTACTATGATTTATCAGTTTTCTTTCCTGCTATTTTTTGTTTTCAACTATATCCCCCTAAATCCTCTTTCCAAAGTACATCCATTTGTTTTATTCCTGAGAGATTTTTGGTCAACAATTTGTTGTAAGCAGATACTTTGCTTTTATTTTGATTAGAATTACCCAGTGATGTTTTAACATAAAGCTGTGTAATTGTTTCATAATTTCAGAATCTCAACTTAAAGAAGGTATTTCCTAACTTAAGATAAATTTAAAGACACGGATCAGGTGGATATTGATAGAACTAGAAACTAAACCACTAACACATTGAAAAAGTCCCACTGAGCCACAAACAAATGCCAAGTCTTTTAAAGGTGCGTGCAATACCTCGTAAGGATTGGTATTATATTTCACTCCATTATCAAGAAAGAAACAGGCAGCCCTTTAAAATATATTTATAAATACCTGCAAAATTAATCAACAAATGTGTTCTGTGAGCTTTGGTTTATTTGGAACATGATCTATTGAAAAATACTGGTCAAAAATAAATCACCGGGCATGTACACTACCACAAAAATACAGGCTCAACTTCTATGTGTTTGCCCCTTTTTTTCTTGGTTTTTTTTTTTTCTTTTTTATTCTCTTCCTTCAAATAAATCAAATGTTAACAGAAAAAACATTAATTCTTCAACAAAGACAACTGCTATAGTGAGTTAGTTCATTATTGTCTAAAATATACCACTATTTGAGTAAAACGATTTGTTGTTCAACTTAGAATCTTTTCAGTGCTACTCTTAACATTTTATCACTAGCTACTCTAGCAACATTATGTATCCTTCAAAATCAAAACAAATGTGAAGAAAAAAAAAATCGGAGACACTAAAAAAGAAAAAAAATCAAGATTGTTGCAAAAGTCTTAAATTAGCTGTGTCACATGTGTTTAAGCCAATAAACATAAGATCAGGGATTTAAAAATCAGTAAAGTGACCTTTTTCCTTCTACTGTCATCCTCCTAGAGACATGTGTGAAAGGTCCCTTTCATTACAGAAAGATCTATAAAAAGCCTCAGTTTAAATGCCTATCTTACATTTTTGAAAAATATTTCTAGTGGTTTCCTGACAATGACCTACTAACCTCTCTTAATATCCAAAGAGAGCACTAGGAACACTTCTGGTAAGGCACCCAGCAAAAGAGAGAGAGACTGATGTTTCTCAGTGTTACCTGAAGCATGTGAACTAACACTGGGGCTGTTTAGTCAGGACCTGGATTTTGTAGGTGTGTGAATGGAAGTCTCACCAAATCCTGATAAAGAACCTGTGCTCTGCTTCAACTCCAAACCAGACAGTTCTGTCAGACTGGATGGGACTGGGAGACAGAGCTGCTTATTACACACCAAAGGACTTAATACTCTTTGGTCTCCTGCGCAGGGAACAAACCAAGCTGCAGACTTACATTTACTCCATAAGTTGCATAATATCCCTAAAAATCAACCCATTCTGAGTGGCTGCTGGTCTCTATTTTTTACCAGAACGAATAAAGAATAGCCATAATATTTAAATTGATCTTCTATCCTAGCCAATCACTGTTTTTACATGACAGGTAAGCAGCAGTAGCACGTCAAGAAATGCTGTTTCAAAGCTCTTCCAGTCCTCACCACAGTTAGCAGTGATACCACCAATATCTTGCTTTTCAAAGCCAAAAGCACACAAGCACAACAGGAAAATTATCTTTTCATATTGGGGTTCTGAATTAGAAACTAATTTTGTCTAAATATATTAAGATGTTAAATGTCCCATAAAATGTTACAAGAGAGAACTGTGTGGCTTTTTGAGGGAACGAACAGCAGGGCACTTGATAGGTTGTGGCTTTGTAGGTAGAAGAAAGAATGCTCTTCCAGGAGGGGAAAACATGTGATGAGAAAAGACATCTGCACCAGGACAGCAAGTTAAGGATGTAATGCAACAGTAATGACATTGAATTGCTGTAGGCAAGAAGGAAAAGCTGTCACTCTTACATATTCTAATCATGACACAATCTCTCTTTACTGTTGGGTTAATAAAACACAGATACAAAAGACAAACAAAGCAAACCCTACTGAATATCACCTTGTCTTCCTGAATAGTTTTTTTCCAGATCATGCTGCAGCAGTCTGTTGTGGAAAGATGACGGTTCTTTATTTATCCTGAATTCAAACTGTAACACAACATTTAAGACAAATGTTAAAGTTTTCAAATGCAAATAACACCTACACAGACAAACACAACCTCAGTAGTAACTACGATTCTCAGGAAATTCTAGTAATTATTTAAAAAAATAATAACTTCTCCAGTAAAACGTTTACTCATTCTTTTAGGAAAAAAGCTTCAGTGTTGGAAACCAAAATGAAAATATGGAAGTTACCAGCACATGCATATGCAGTTGACTAAATAAAAACAATCCCACCCTGTAAGGAGTACAGGAGAAAGAGGGGTTCAGGCAGAAGCATAAGAAAACACACATATATATATATATGTATATATATATATAAAGCTTGTGGCAGGGGAGAGTACATTCCCCTGTTTTTACTTTATATGTCCCTGAGAGGATGAAATAAATTACTAAAATACTATCAGATGCATTAGATATTATAAGTCAACAAATGACTACTGAAAAGGTAATTCCTATCTGAAAGCATACAAATTTGTATGTACCATACAACTGCTTTAATTCATATAGTTATCCAAGAAAAGGTAATAATTACTGGTTTGCTCTTATCTGGTATTGATGAGGTCTGGATAACCAGCTGAAGACCACAATTATTAACCTGCAAATTGAAAGAAAAAGAAATTAAATGCTACGTTTGTCAAAACCAGATATCAACACCAAGAGTTAAATGTAACAATACAGGCATTTTCAACAGTAAAATGTGTCAAGAAAGGAACTATTTTGCAAAAATATCACGAAGAACACAGCACAGCACTGAGCAACACTAAATAATTTTTAGCTTTTAAAAAAAAATCACGTTGTTTTTAGTTTTAAAAATACACTGAAAGCACGACTTCCATGGGGATGCAATTCTCATCACGAAGAAAGCAAGCGCTTGCCATTTAAACACGCCTCTTTTCAAAAGGCAGAACATGCTGGTCTTAGGGTTTGTATGACAAAACGTGGCACCTACGTGCGAAGTAACCAGAACGATTAACAGAACCCCTTCACCGAACGGCTCATACACCCCCTCCCAGCGCATCGCAGGGGACACAGCACACAACAGACGGCGCCGGGAAGCCGCCGCCCGCCCGCACCCCCCGCAGCACCTACCGGTGCGGCGCGGCCCGCGGGCCCCGGCCGGTGCGGCCCTTGCTGGGCACCATGTGCCGCTGTCCCTCAGCCCCGCACGGCCCCACGCCCCGCAAGCCGCGCCGCCCGCCGCCGCCCTTGTCGAAATGGCCCGGCCGTTGCCGCGGCGACCGCGGCTTCCGTCCCGCCCGCCGGCCGGGCGGCGCCGAGGGCGGGAAAAACCGTGAGGGGACGGAGCGATGGAGGGAGGGACGTGGCGCCGGGCGGCCGCCCCGCTGTGCCCGGTGCCGGACCGCGTTCCCCCCGCGCGGTGAAAGGACACTATTACAGAGCCGCAGATTGGCAGAGCGGGTCAGGTTGGAAGGGACCGCAGTGGGTCACCTGGTCCAACCTCCCTGCTCAGGCAGGGTCATCCCAGAGCACGTGGCACAGGATTGTGTCCAGGTGGGTCTGGAGTATCTCCAGTGAGGGAGACTCCACAGCCTCTCTGGGCAGTCTGTGCCAGTGTTCGGTCACCTGCACAGTAAAGTTCTTACTCATGTTCAAGTGGAACTTCAGTTTCTGCCTGTTGCCTCTTGTCCTATTGCTCAGCACCACCCAGCAGAGTCCGGTCCACCCTCTGATGCCTCCCTTTAGATATTTATAACCCTCGATGAGGTCTTTCCTCAGGGCTAAACAGGCCCAGCTCCCGCAGCCTTTCCTCATAAGAGAGATGCTCTAGTTCCCCAATCACCCTAATTGCCCTCCACCAGATCCACTCCAGGAGCCCCTTGTCTCTCTTTAACTGAATTACAATTGTATTTTTCTGAATTCTACATCCGAGTGGCTGTTTGTGAAAACCCCTGACAGGACAAGAAGCTGGATGTACATTCCCTGACGTTCTGCCTCAGGGAATTGCCTTGTGGGCACAGACTGGTCACAAAATATGTAAATCCCTGAGGTCAGCTGCAGCACAGAACAGTTCTTTGCTCATACTGGTCCTGACCTTGTGCCTGCCCAGGGAGGCAAACAACTCCCACGAACTCATACAAAATCAGACCCACAGTCCCTATCTGCACTGTCTTAAAATGTGCCCTTTGTGTTTGTATTTCTGCTCCCAGTGACATCAATAGCAAAGTGATGCCCTACCCAAGACATATTACAGAATGTCCCATTAGCAGAGAACCAGAGATTTGCTTAGTGATGCACGTCAGTATATTTCATAAACAAAATATTTCATTGCTTAAGGCACGTTAAAAAATAATCCAAACCCACTGAGGCAGAGCAGCCTCAGGACATGTCCGTGCCAACAAACCTGACTCATGAGGACTGTTTGTCACAGGGATGAGAGAAACTGGCCCCAAGTGCAGCCTCACTTTTCATCCATCCAAATTTTTAAGAAAACACTGAAGTAATACAGACAAAGATGCCACAAATGAAGTTGTGACTTCAAGATCCAAGCTATATTTGACAGTTTAGGTCTAGACACTATTGAAAAAAAGATCTTCCCTGACTGAAGAATGAATATTTACATGGAAAATTGAAAAGTTTTTGATTCTAATCTTCAGAACATGAATGTTCACTTCAGTAGCTGAAACAGTCCACTGAAAGAAAGTGCAATATTCTTAAGTTCAAAATAACCACTGTATAAGTGTTTCAGAAAAAGGGCCTCTATTTTAATCAGTTCTTAAGGGGGAATGTTTTTATTCTGTGTAAGTACCATACAGAATTATAGAGCAGACTGCTCTACAAAAACAACACGTATCCAATCATGTCCTTGTCCACTCGTGTTTCTTATTTCCAAATCTCATCCTCGTCATTTAAAACCACACTTACCCCAGCGAAACCTTTCTGAATCTCTTAAAACGCAGCGCTCCGGTCGGGGCGCAGCGACTCAGCCCCAGGGCTGTACCAGGCGACGAGAAGCTGACGACGTTGCTCTCCGGCGAGGAACGCGTTGTCTTCCGATGAAATAAAAGCAATCCCGTTGGAGTCGTCAACGAGAAGGCCACTTCAGCCGCCCGGCTGGCCCGGGGACAGCACCGCTGGAGGAGGGTCCGACTCCGCCGGGGGAGTGGAGCCGGGAGCGCCGCCCCAGCGGGAGGGGACGGGAGGGGACGGAGGGGACGGAGGGCGGCTGTCGCAGCCCCGGCGGGCTGAGCCCGGCCATGGCCCAGCAGGAGCCGGCTGAGCCCGGGGCTGCGGGGAGCGGCCCCGTGCAGATCCGAGTGGCCGTGCAGGCAGCCGCGGAGGAGGAAGAGCGGGAGGAGGAGGAGGAGGACGACGAGGAGGAGGAGAGGGGCGGCGGAGCGCTGTGCCCCAGCTGCAGCGAGGAGGACCTCGGGGCGGTGCGGGCGCTCCAGGTGGAGCTCCCAAGGAGGGGGTCTCGGCGGCAGGGCAGGGGGTCCGGCGGCCGCCCCGGGCGGGCCTTGCGGGGGCGAGGAGCGGGGTCCGCCGCGGTCACCGCACGTACGGAGCGGCCGCGGCGATGCCCAACAGTCTGAGGGGGGGTGGAGACGGAGAACCCCCAGGCGAGGAGACACCTGGGCGGAGCCTTGCCGGAACGGATGGCTCTGCCCGGGAACGGATGGCTCTGCCCGGGAACGGAATGGCTCTGCCCGGAACCGGATGGTTTCTGCCCGGGAACCCATGGCTCTTGCCCAGGAACGGATGGCTGCTGCCCGGGCTGCGGCCCCTCCGCCCCCCAGGGAAGCTGCCGGGGCCGCGGCTTCCCCCTGCCACTTCACTGCCTTTTACAGAAAGGGTTTTGAGGATTAGTTGTTGTGCTCTGCTTTTTTTTTTTGTTGTTGTTGTTTTTTTTTATTTTATTTTTTGTTGTTTTTTTGGGTTTTTTTTTGGTTGGTTGGTTTTTATTGCATGGACTCGATATTTTATTTTACAGACAGAGTTATCTCCTTAGATATTTAAGACATGGACAGACAGACCCGTGTTATGGCCTTGGAAACAAGCTGACTAGACACAAAATCAAGGCCATTAGGAATGCAGAAAAAACTGACACTTTATACTGTTTGATAATGCCAGTAGTGCTGTCTGCACTACATAATTCCTATGTTGTAGGAATTACTAGTGGTGCCTGAAATTGCTTTGATGCCTACCAGATTATCTTACATCCAGGCACATCCAGGATTTTTGTGCCAGAAAACTGCAGAGGGACAATGCTCGTTAGTTGTAGTTCATCTTATGATTTGTACTAATGTCGTACAGTAATGTACTGTACAGATGCAGTAATAAATTGTCATGTAAAGATTTACGTACAGTAGCAAGAAAACCAGTATTCTGTTTGTAGATCTGTCGTTTCTAATTGATTCTCTAACTTCATATCCTAGCACTGACTCAGAATGAACTGCAGTGTATTATTTTAAATTACAGAGGGCTACTTGGGGAGGGAGAATTTTTTGCAGCTGCCAAAATTTTCAACTATATACTACAGAAACAGGAGTTGAACACAGCTAGGCACAATTAGGATGTCTAAGCTGAGTCTGCTTAGTTTTTCCACAATCATATTACAACTATTATTTTTATAAATATGTACAGCAGTCTACAGTGTTGCATTCCAATTACTGATTTCTTCGTTTTGGGAAATTCTTTACATTTGTTATCTGTGATAGTATTACTTGTGTAAGAGCTTCTAGCCCTGGCCTAGACTAGAAAAAAGGGTGGTTATTTTTTCAAGCTTTGTAACACACAATAGCTACTCTTAAATGCCACTTATTTATATGATAGGAAATTATTTACAAGCATTTTGAAAATTATTAGTGATGGTCTAAAACTGCTAGGAATGAGCCATCTCACTCTCCAGCTGAAGCTAGCAGACAATTTGAATTTCCCCCCCCTCAATTTCTAGGTTTTATAACTTATGAAATGAAAGCTGTTTCCCCAGTGGTCAAGCCCTGCAGTTCTTTGGGAAATCTCTGGGTATTTGTGACATACAGTCCTCAGCCTTTGAGCTGCCAGGTGCTTCAGAACCATCTCCAGACTGTTGATAATAAACAGGTAGTTCTCATGTGCATGAAGTAAAGCTATTTCTACTCAAGTTTATTTTGGATGAATGTGAGTTTGAAAGGTGAATGTTGTTATGATGTTGTCAGTCTAAAAGATAATGTTTCACAATCGAAATTAAAATGACTGATTGCTGCAGCCACACGTTCCATTAGGAGGCACCAAGTATTGTATCCACATTTTTGTTAACAGACTTGCACTGCCTCGGAGAGATTGTACTGTTGGAACTCATAAATTAGATTACCACATACTGCTTATTAATACAATACTTTATTCATTTGGGACTCAGCTAAAACTTTTCAAAAGGCTAGACGCTATCCAAACAAGTTAATATACTGTTTGTGAGCCTTGATATTTAAAACTCCAAATCTGCTCTCTATGTAGATATGTTTTCTTGTGTGACTAATGGCCAGATGAGTCACCAGGTTAAAAGATTGTTTTTGTCTGTTTTGATAAGCATATTAAAGAAATAAAATTGTGAATAACTACTAGGGTTTGGTTTATTCTCAATGTCGGCTGGGATTGATTTATCATCTACTTTTGTAGTACAGTTGATACCCTAGAGGTACTACCAGTTGATCACTACTATGAATTAATATGGAGCTAGTTACAAATTTCTGCATTTGCTGTAGGTGGCATTTCCATACAGCACTTAGTGAGGGCTGTTGAAAGAGCCCATGGGATTTTGTAAAAGCTGAGCTGTCTGCCAAATACTATCATGTATAGGTCAGGCTGTGACCAATATGTGAGAGGTGAAATGAGGCCTGTTTTGCTCTGATTCAGTGTGTTGCAAACAACACTGGTGGTTGCAAACATGCAGTTCATTTTTATTGTTTTCTAAGGCATGATGCCCCTTTTTGTTTCCATCCAAACACCTGCAAATGTCTGAGCTAATATATTCTCTAAAACAGCCCCATCCTGAACTGAAGGTAAGCTTTTCCTAGCAGAGTGTGGATATGCAAAAAGGCTGAAATGTTCCAAGTTTCTTGTGTTGACACTAATTCTGAATTGCTAATGAATGAAGAATGAGTAGTGGGGTAAGGGAATATCAATAATGAAAAATAAACAGC